TATCCATTACATTAATGACTAAATGCTTATAAGTTTTTAAGTTGCTTAAATGTTAGTGTAAAATTTTATTCCATAATTGAAATATAAAATCTAAACAATATTTAATAATTAAAAGTTATTGATTTTAATTAAAAATATATATTTACTCTTTCTTCTTGAAGTCTTCTGTCTTGTTCTGCTAAACGTTGTCTTTCTGTTAATTCGCATGCTCTAAGTTCCTCAAATCTCCTTTGATGTTCTTTTAATGTTGCTAATTCTTCTTCTTGGATTACTTCAATCAAACTTTGTTCTAATATATAACCAACAAAAGCATCCAATACTGGAATAACTTCAGTATCAAAATCAAATAACTAGGAAAAAAAATTTTTATTATAACCAAATTTATTAAATTATACTATATTTATGAACAAATCAAATCATTTTTTCTATTTCCTATTTTTTCAATTATTAAATTTTATTCACTCATTAATTTTTTATAAAATGGAAATTGGAAATTGATAATTAAAATGAAAGTAATTTTAACAGACTATTATTATGGAAAGGAGTAATTGATGTAAACTTTTATTGCACATTATAAGCAAGAAAGAGAATAAAAATTTCTTTATTAAAATTTATTAAATCAATCTGAAATATTAAAAAGCTTATTAATATTTTGAAAAAATTTTAAAATAATAAAAGTGCTAGAACAGGAGTGGACAATCTTTTTAAATATGCATGACAAAATCACTAAATCTATGGTACAAAATTTTCTCATTAGACCAACCAAAATCTTTGGGAGCATATTTGGCATATTTTAAGTATTGAGAGAAACTTTTCAAATACAGTGGGTGATCAGTTAACAAACACAATCTGTTCCAAGACTGTGTTCGCTACCTGAATTGTTCATTAACTGATTATTGATTTACCATAAATTTTTATGGAAATTTGATTAATTTGTTCTGGAGACCACAAAAATAAATACAAGTAAAAAGTTATATACTTTCTTACTATGTTTATTTATATGTAATAATAAAAAAACATATATACACAGTCTTGCATTTTTATCAGTCATGTTTTTTTTTCCATTTGTGGGACCTTAAAGAATCTGCCCAATGTCAATTGCTTTTCTCTCTTCTTCAGGATTTTTCTTCAACTTCTTCTTTATCTGCACTAGCAGACTAATTATGAATTACCACATGTTTAATGCCAGATCTCCTTCTAAACTTTGCAAACCATCCAGTGGTAGCCTTGAATTCTATCTCCTCATGTGAGTTTGTTTCTTAAGTTCTTCAAAAATTTCTCTAGCTTTCTCTTGAATGATAGTCACACTAGTTACATTTCTTTTCATTTCCCTTTCTTGTATCCAAATTAAAAGCAATCTCTCCATTTTTCATGGATGGCACATCTTTGTTTCTCATATGTGATTTTCATTACTCCTTTAGTTACTTGAATCTTCTTGATTATATCTTTCTTACCTAAGATTGTGCCTACTGTAGACCTGTTCAAGTCATACTGCCTAGCCACAACAAACATCTTCTGCCCACTCTCTACCTTGGATATTATCTCTTGCTTGGTTTCTATGTGAGCAGAGTTCTTGACACTACTCCTTTTAGGCTCCATAATATTATCAATTTTTTTTTAAATAAAAAGTTCAGAAAATCACTCACAAAAATTCAGAGAACAGAAATCAACTAGTGCATAAAAGAATTATGTAAATGTGAGGTCTGAATGAAATTCGAAATTTTGGTGTTAAAACATTAACAAATATCCGATAGGACAGTTAAACTATCACCTTTCAAAAATAAAAATTGACAATTTAACAAGTGCCCGACAATCTCACAAAGACTATAAAAAATTATCTGTCAGAAAGATAAACAGAAAGGTAGAATTACAAGGGAGAGTTTTAAGTTCAAAGGAATACTATCTGATTAGTATCGGGTTGCACATCGATGTCTATGTGTTCCACACTCCGAAAAGTTTTGAACTGTCACCTGGAGAAAAGGGAAAACCAATTGGTATTAGTTTTTTTACGTCACTTCTTTTTGTGTTTGTTCTGTGATGAGTTCATTATCCAAACATAAAAATCTTTTGCGAAAGTGTTCATTGTTCACAATCCAAACTGTAGTCAATCACCCACTGTAGTCAAAAATCCATATAGATACACCCTATAAAAACCTGATAAATTCTTAACAAAACACAAAATATATATATATATATGGTGATGATAATGAATCACTTCATGTTTGGCTGCCTGGCAAATGATTCAATAATTGAATAGGATAAAACCTGTTTTGGAAATAAGATGTTTGTTTCATTTTCTTATTACTTATTACTACTATAATAGTTGATAGAGTTTATTTCTTTATTGCACTTTTTATTTAGTATTACTCTACTCAATAAAATTGTATTCTATAAGTAATAAGTTAAAATATTCAATTCAGTGAAGATATTGGAAATTTATTTAGAAGGTGAGCTCTTGATTGCATTGTAGAAAAAGTTGTTAACCAAGGGCCAAAAATTGTCCACCTCAGCTCTGGGGTAAATTGATTTAGAATAATCTTATAAAATAATGAAAATAAACATTTAAAGAAACAATTGCATATCAACTAAGTAAAAAATTACACTATTAATTAATAAAGTTTCTTAAAAATTAAATTCAAAATTTTGCACTCATAAAAAGTAATTTCAAAAATTTTATATGAAAAACTTTCATTTTATTAAAAATTATATACATGGTGGTCATTTATAATGTCAATTGAAAATATCTCCTAAAATATACAATAAATTGAAAATGTATCTTATACGAAAGTTTATTATTTTGGAGGAGCTTTTTGAACCACATAAAAACTAAACTACTACTTCCCCCTTGCAGATGGGGCAAAGGCTCTAACTTTCAATTTTCAAATGGGAAAACCTAATTTTTTTTTGCATTTTCGGATTCTTTATTAAAAAGTAATAGCATTTTATTCTAAACAATTTTTTCAATTAATGTTAATTTATTAGTATTTTTAGTATTTTTGAAAAATAAGACTTCCCTATAAAGAAGGGATGATAAAAATAAAAAGGTTTATTGAAAGATTAAAAAAAGATTATCATTTATTACTTTCTATCTGTCAAATGCAATACCATTTGCTACAGAATGATAAATGTTAATCTCTTCATCTTTTTTTTTATTTTTGTCACCTAAATTCTCATAGGCATATTTAATTGAGTCAGGAAGCATAAATATTGTCACTTTACTCCACTGTATCTTCAAAATGAAGTCATGGACCCCAATTTGACACATTCATGATAAAAAGTGGTAGGAATAGCTATGAGATGATATGAATGGACTTGTTAATAGAACGTTTGAAATCAATTCATTTATAGATCTATTTAAATCATTTCATTTTAAATACAGGAAACCGACAAAGGAACCAACAGGAAATTCTAATGGTGCTCTATTAGTTTCTACTGAGATGTAAAAACCAATTGGTTTCAATTGTTAAACCAATAATAATTGATATGTTTACTAGGGCACAAAGAAGATTAGAGAAGATAAGACAAAGTGTCCAAAGATGACCAGATGACAAACTCATCAATAAAATATTCAACTGAAAACCAAAACATAAAAGGTTCTTAAATGATCTAGAAAATACTATAAAGACACTTTAAAGAAGATGAATTCCTAGTCACAACAAATGAACAGCCTAATTCAGAATGGTCCAACTGACAACTTATGAGCCATATCTAACTTGGTCTTGGTAGACAATTAATCTGCATCATTGTTATTTAGTTAACTGCAGCATTTTCATTACCATGTGATGCTTCAATAAATATGCATAGTACTAAATACTCTCATTAAAATGTTGGCTAGCTTTTGTTATTTAATTAAGAATTCAAAATGTCTTATTTTCCATATACAGTAATACCTCGACTTACGCGAACCTGGAGTTATGCGATTTTCAAATCTCATCGATTCGTCTTTTGTTTGAGCGCCACACAACTCTTGATTACTCACTCCACCCACACTATTGTTCAGCTTACAAGTTCAGACATGTCTTGCAGAATCAACACATAGCTATAATTTATTTTGTGTTATTTATTTCTGTGTTTGTTATATCTACAGACTTGAAGACTCTATGTGGTAATTTCTTGTAACCGTGAACGAATCAAAAGACGAGATAAGATTAACCAGAACATTTATTAGCTTACATACATCCGACTTTGATTTTACACAAATTGTGAAATTATACCCCGACTCATGCAAATTCGACTTACGCGGTTATCGCTTGGTCCCACCTATCGCGTAAGTTCGGGGTATTACTATATTCATTAAAAAATTACTTCTCTGGCCTTGACAAGTATAGTTTGAATGAAAAAGTCAAACCACTCTAGTCTAATACATAAGAAAAGGAAGAAAGGAAGGAAAATTAAAAATGAAAAATTCAAATATATAATTTTTATTAATTAAACTGTAATTAACAATAGAGAATAATAAATAATCAAACTTACTTCATCATCTTCAATTTGAGTTCCTACATCAACACCAATTTTGGCAGGAACAAACAATGGTGTGGTAGGTCTCTCTAAAAAGACATCAGTCTGACATTCTACATCCCTTTCTTTAACCACTTTTTGCAGTTCTTCTAAGTACACTCCAGTCTGAATTGGAATATGAAGTCTCCCTTCTACAGGTGGTGGAGTTTGAACATCAAATTCATATAAATAATCAAGATTTTTCTGTTTTCTTGCAGCAATTGGAGTGAACTATAGTTTAAGAAATATATTTTATTGTTAATAAAAAGTATAAAAACTAAAATGTAATACTTACTTCTGATATTCGTGTTAAAGTTCGAGTATTTCCTCTTAACAGATGTCTGTCATAACGAATTCTTGGGTTATCAGAAACACTATCAAAGCTACTATGAAAACAAAAAATATTATAGTGAGAATAATTACAGACATAGCTATATTTTTACAGACTTCTCCAATTAAATTAATTTTGTTAATTTATTGAAAGAATGCAAGAAACCATGAAAGATAAAATCTTATTTATTTGGGTCTGTTTGGAAATGCTTACTGATCAAATCAGCTGGTTATAGCAGTGAATGACATCATTGATAGTTGATCAGCTGCCTCTAACTTCACTCATCAAGAGTGGTGAGTCACAACTGGTAAATCATTGGAAACTTTATAGGTGATGTTTTTGAATGAGACTCAATCTCAGCAGTTGTTGAATGTCTGAGAATGTCTGAGCAGAACCTTTTAGAGTATATTTTAGGGTTTAACTAATTAGAAATTTAATCAATTTGATAATACACACATAATAGTGTGAGGTACATTTGGATTCAATGGAATTTCCAGTCTAGCATTTATTTCTGAACATCAGACTTCAGAAAATTATCAAGACACTTTAGAATGACATCTCTTTCCTATAGCAGAAATGATAGGTGGTCCAAATTGGACATTTCAACAGGACAATGCTCCCATTCATTGAGTTCTGTAATACACCACTCATTGTTCAAATTCAACCAAAAAATGACTTCAGAATCAAAATGTAAATGTTATGAAATGGCCTGTAAGAAGTCCTGACCTAAACCCAATAGAAAACTTATGGAAAATCATGACAAGACAGGTGTATGCAGGTGGTCATCAGTTTTCCAACATTACAGAACTTAAATGTGCAATTGAGGATTCATGGTATAACTTGAAACCAGAATTGTTACAAACTCTTTGAATTCAATGCCAAATCATGGATGTGTGTATGATGTTATTAAAAATAATGGAAGCACAATTAGCTGTAAAAAGTTTTTTTTTATATAATTTTTGAAATTTACCTAAACTTTTGTTCAGCAAAATTTCTATTTTTGTAAGAATCTTAATAATTATTAAATTGTTAAATTTATCTTTTTAATGATGTTTAATGTGATGTATTGTGATCTCATTTCACTTATTAAATCAATCGAAAGTTATTTTAAAAGTTATTCAAGAAAAATCATTTTACCTAAACTTTTGGGACAGACTTTATATATTTTTTTAAATATATTTTAATCAATCTCCCATGACATACAAGTAAGAAACTAATATAATAATTTAAACACTTAGAATATTCAGCTTGTTAAGTTAACAAAAGGATAACTAACTTAAACTAATTTGAAAAATATCAAATACATCTGAAAAAGTCAAAATTCCAAAAGATTTCAGATGGATGCAGAAACAGATATGGGAATAAATTCTCTATATTTTAGGAAAAAAGGAAGGGAAATACAAGTTACAAAGACAAATTTATTTATATGTACAGCAAAAGAATTTCCTGACAAAAGTCTTACTTTGACAAATCTGAAATTCTGTGAAAACTTACTTTGTAGTCACCTGTCCAACAGAGAAAATCATTTCTTCTTACAGAGAGCATCTCAATAATAGTATACCAACAATACATAATATCTGTATTAGTTATAATGTTACTTGCTACTTAACTTGGTTAGAACAATTGTATGTTCTAATTTCTTCAAAGGCTATCCATAAAAAATTTTTGCTGCTTTGATGCCATATTGTTAAAAAGCACAAGTCATTGGGAACATTGATGAGATTAACAAAATATAAAAACAAATAATTGAAAAAAAAAACATTAAATTAAACAATCATTTGTCTTCATTTGAAATTTATATACATACTAAGGTTTACTAAATGTAATTTTAGACAAACACCTACTTAAACAATTCTTGAAATACTGTATTGCATTGAAAGTAACTAAAGTCCTATATTTCATTAAAGTCTAATTTATTTAATTGTTCCTTACATTTAAAAACAAAAAGAAATGTTAATTTGGAAGAGAGAATTCTGAAACAAGAAGAAACGAAATAAAAAGAAAAAGGGAAACAGGTGTGAATTGGTTGAAGAGAGGAACTTGTCAGAGGAAGAGAGGAATTGAGTGAGAACTGAAAGAGAAGATCTAGATAAAAAAGGACTGTAGAATTCCCTTATATTTTGCTTGATGGAAGCTAAGGGAAATTACTGAGTATTTGATTACACTGGAAGATTACCCACAAATACAAGTAAGAAACAAACTCAAAACCCTTTTGCTTGAGTGAAAGCCATTCTTTTACCTTTTATAACTTTCTTCTTTTTCTTTTTTTTTTTATATCCATTATTCTCTGACTTAAGTGATTAGTTTTAGTGCTTTTTATTTGTTTGTAATATTTATGATACTATAAAAAAAATTTATAAGTGATTTAGAAGTGACTGTATGAAAATTTGTTAACTTGTTTGTAGAATGATTGTACAAAGAATAATACTCTTTAATAATAATACTTAAAATAATACTCTTTTTTCTTAAAATTAAACTTGTAAAAAATATTTTGGCACTTTTCTGTTAATGGGACGTCAGTTTTAATCGTAATCCAATGCATAATGTCATTGTCTTATTGGCATAATGGAAAAATATGAGTAATAAAAGTCAAGTAGATTTAACAAAACACAAAATAATTAAAACTTGAATAAAATCATAAAGAGGGATTAAAATGAAATCAAAAGAAATTAAAACTTGTTAAATTCCTAATCTGCTTTGCATCTTTTTGTGTCTTTTTTTGCAATGTTTGGCATCATGTATACATTTCTATTAAAGTTTATTTCTGTTGAAATATACTTTGACATAAAATAGCCATTTCTTTACACAGTACTGGCGTCCCAATAACAGAAAAGTACCAATGTTTTTTTCTTAATGTTCTGTAATTATATCTTACTGTATATCATCAATCTCATTAGAAAAGAACTTACACTGTATATAAAAAAGTTTGTTATAAACTATTGTTTAAGCAAACATAACTATATTGTTGAATTTTGTAAAAGTAAAAATTTATAAATAATATTTAATAACAATTTCATAAATTGTTGTAAAGCTAAAAATTTCTAATGCTTTAATTTTGTTAAATTCTGTCAGTCAGTCTCTAGTTTTTGATCAGATCTATTATATTATACATTTATTATAAGTACATATTCTTTATCCTTATATACATTCTTTTATGCACATATTTTATATGAGTACATTAACTTTACTTAATATGTCATTTTCCTAAGCAAAGCCAGGTAGCTCTGCTGTAAATACATAAAAACTAGAATTACTAGAAAATTAGCATGCTTAAATGTTTATATTTAATGTATGTATATTAAATGTATGCATAATGCATTATGCATACATTTATATATAATATTTTATCTCTCCGTAAGTTTCACTTAATTTCAATGAGAGAAATATTTTAAAAAAACTATTACTACTATATATTTTTGAAATAAAATTTTAAAAATGTAATTATTTTAATTACCATAATTCAAAATAAAATAAAAGTTGAAATATGAAAACAATATGTGTAATGCAATATAAAAATATTCTGTTATGTATAAATTTTTTGATGTCTTTTAAAATCTATAAATTAATTTAATAACAATACTTCCTGCATCCTTGGCACCATTTTATTACCAATACTAAAATGCTTACTTCAGGAAGCTAAATCTTTAATTGAATAATAAAGGTTTTTGTCCTGTTCCAGGTCAATTTCAGCTTGAAACATTGTAACTTAATTTTAAAGAGCAACAATATCTGTAGTTATTTTCTGTGAATTGTAAGTTGAAGTTGTCCTGGCAATCAAGGACAAAAATGTTTATTATTATTCAATTAAAGATTTGGTTTCTTGAAGCAAGCATTTTAGTATTGATAATTAGTTTAATATTTTATTTTTTTTTAAATTTTTGATATGGAAAATAATATTTACAGAAAGAGTTTAATCTTTTCAAGAGTATCTTAATAGTCTATACTTTAATGCAAATATATATATATATATTTTTTTTACCTTCAATAAATATATATATTTTTTAAGCATCAGATTAAGACATTTCTTTGGATTTTTCATCCAACTAGCATTAGCTTTTTGAGTTTCAAAATATGTTAAGATACGTTATTGATTAGATTTGAGCATTAATTCAAGTAAGTGCTTGTGGTGTAGTGGTTATCACATCCGCCTGACACGCGGAAGGTTCTAGGTTCGATCCCTGGCAGGCACAGCATAACCCCGCGTTTCTTTATGCATCGCTCGAGAAGCGCTTTACAGCGAACACATTGAAACTGGTTTCTAATTGACTATCACTGCTCGTGACGTCATTTCGCTGCATAAAGAAACGCGGGGGAACTTTTAGACTAATGTCAGAAGAGCGTGAAAAAGCACCGACGCTATTTTTTACACGTGAAATTTCACGGAGAGAAATGTGGACAGACGAGCGTTATTTTTCACGGAGCGCGTTGGTAATGTTCCATTTCAGACGCGTGTATATGTCAACATGGATCTCACAGATTGAGATGTGATGTTTTTTATTATGTGCAGAAATATTTAAAAATTAAAACAATTTCTGTTTTTATAAAGTTCANCCACTGAAGAGGCTAAAATAGCGAAATATATATGGATAACATAATAAAGTAAGAAATAGTGAAAATAATTCTCTGGTTTTCTCTGTTTTTTTAAACTCTATCGAAGTCGGAATTAAAGAGTGAACGTCACTTGTGGTTCTTAGGAGTTTTTTTAAACGAAAAAATTTTTAGAATTTATTAATTTTAATATTTGTCTACACCGATCCCATTGTTTTATTATTTATTTAATGTACAGTACAATCCTACATCATCAAAGACTGACCCTCCCTCAGGAGCATCAAGAGGGCCAGGCTGTAGCTGTGCCGGAAAGGAGAATTTTACATGGGCCCCAATAAATAAATTATTTGAAAATTTATTTAGAATTTTTCTATAGATATATTACTTTTTAACAAAATAAAGAACAATAGTTATCATTAAGCATTTTATATTACAATATCACATAAAGAACAAATTGTGGGATGATGTCCAGGTTCCCGTGAATCCCAGGCCCAGGGATTTTTAATTCCAACACCCCTCTCCTCCCAGCAGCGGGGCAAGACCTAAATTTGATGTGGGCAAGGTACATTTCGCGAGGCCTTCTGGTAGTGCAAGAAGACAGATTTTATAAAATAAAAAGCAGTCAAAACTGTCAAATTTTTATTCCTAAAAATGAAAACTATATTCTTTAACTAACATTAAAGAAAAATTAAAAAGAAAAAAAATTAATTAAAGAAACAGAAATTTCCTGCTTTTAGCCTTACCAAACTCCTTAATAATTGTATCATAATTTAGCTTAGATGCTATATATGCTTCAATAGATAAAACTGCAAAAGCTGAAAGTCTTTCTTGACCCATTGTATTTCTTAAATAATTTTTTATTAGTTTTAATTTTGAAAAGCTCCTTTCAGCGTAGGCAGTACTTACCGATATTGTTAACAAAATTCAAACGGCAATGTAAATATTTGGGTAAATTTCTTTCAAGTTATTTTCTATTATGTATTGGAGCAGCTGTTTCACAATTTTAATGAAGTTAGGTAAATTTGGAATCATTGTTTGTAACTCTTCATATAATTCGTAAGGTTGGAAGTCACTGCTCTCACCTACTCACAGGACTGAGTGTAAATCTTGACGGTTTTTTTAATATTTGCTCTTTTGGAATATTTTTTAACTTTTGGAATATTTTTTAACTTGCTTAGATCATAGAGAAAACCAAAATTTTCAAAATGTTGATTTAAAGACAAATCTCGAATCCATATTGCTTATTATAGACTCAATTGTGGTGTTAAAAAAATCTGTTTCATACCTGCTTTTGGGAGACTGTATAGATTGATCACTGCTTTCATCATCGAACATCCTTTTCTTTTTGGCTATCTTTTCATTTTTAAAGTCTTTTGGCAGTTCATAACTGCTATTCTCAATAAATTGACGAGCGTCAGACAAGCATTTTTCGAATCCAGTTTGTCGATATTCTTTGATTTAGTCACAAAATGTATGCAAATGTTCAAGAGTAATGCTTAAATGGACTTGTACAGATTGCCATAATTTGCTTATGATATTAACACGTGATAATATCTCATACCACACATGTAATGATATGATAAATTCTAAGCCAAGCATTTCGTTTAAACGAAATGCTCAGTTTAGAATTTTCAGTTTAGAATCACAATCACTAATTGTGATTTGGTTTTAAATGAATGCGTGTCTGGTTGTTCCGCTTGATTTTTTAAGCTTTCGATGCATTCAACATCATCATCTAATTGCAATAATAAGGCCTTCACTGTCTCGATTCTACCTTCCCACCTTGTGTCTGATAAAGGCTTCATAGTAAGCTTTAATTTGCCTTTGATTTCTTCCCAATGTTTGCTGGAACTTGAAAATAGCAAATAAATTTTCTAAATAAAACCAAAAAATGTTTTTGCTGCCACAGAAGAATTGGCTGCGTCTACCGACAGCAGATTCCAGTTATGACAACCGCAAAGTGTAAAAAATGCCCTGGGATTAATATTTAATATTCGAGTTTTAACTCCACTATTTACGGGATACTTTACTGAGATACTTCGATTGATTTTCTAGCAGTTGAGAATCGTGAAAATAACGTAAACAAACACAATGGGAAATCCCCAGCTCTGGCTGACAAGGATTCCCAGCTATAGCAACACAACTCCAGCAAATGTTCCTAGACTAAATAAAAACAAATTTGGTATGTCAATATATTTATTGTTTTATGACGAGTAAAATTTTTTCGTTGCGTTCACGGCTTTTATGTAATGCATAAACCTTCAAAGCGTGAGGCCGTAGGCAGTGGCCCACGTTGCCCACGCCTTATGCCGCCTCTGCCTCCCCCCGTCATTAATTAATTAACAATTGCCAGGTATAGACGAATCTCCCTTCCCATAAATTGCTGGAATAGTATTAAATTTTAATACAAATTAAATGGTGGGGCAAATAGTTAAAAATATGAATTAAATAACATTGCATAACCGAACAGCAGTTTTTAAATAGGCCTGTGTGGTGATGAAGTAAGATAAACGAAGGTACACCACATTATATTAATTAATTAAACTAAAGCAAAACTCAGTTTTTGGGGGGTGTTAAAATACGATTTAAACTTTAATGTTCAGGTAAATAAATGATATTTTAACATTTAGTATCTTCAGGAACAACATAGACGAACTAGAGCACGCGAAACGGAACACATAATACAGAAACATCGTTTATGGAACCGTCCGAGCACGTGTAAAGTTTAACGGGTGGGGGGGGGAATTAGAAGCGCCCTCAAACACTATACAAGTAACTAACGGACAGTCCCGATTCTGCATAATAATGAATTTTATTTATAGAAAAAAAATAGGAAATAAAACAATAGAAAAATAGATAATTAGAATTAAAACTTACTTTTCAAAATTTTTTAAATTAAAATCAACGCTGTACGTTCGATTTAAATATTCCGTAACACGAATAACATAACATTTACCTAATATTTTCTTTTAAAATTAAAATCTTTTTTCGTCTTATATTAAATTTTCGAATAGATTTCACAAATTTTATCTTTAGCTTTTAATGTTATTCTTCTCGGTCGTCATAGCAACGTTTACAAAACCGTTACTATGACGACAGCGAATTGTTTGTAGAAAACATCGAATGGGTGGACTAGAGAAACCTTACGGCTTTTAATTACAAAACTTTATTTAAAGTAAGTAATAAGGGATTTTTAATATTATTTTTTTATATTCGTTTTTTCCAATAAAATTCAAATATATTTATTAATAGAATTCCATAGCAGTGTCATGCTATGATATAGAAGCGATGTCGGATCTATATAACGGCTAATAGGGCTTTAGTCCAGGGTTCTCGACTTTTAGGGATCCCTAAAACACAACGCAAAGTGTGTAATTGTTAAATAAGGGATAAAACATAGAAATGTAAAATAATACCAATGTAGAAATTTTTTTGTTAAAATTAAAAATTAATGGCCACTTCCAGCATATAATTTAAGTTTCTTATACCTACAGATCGTCTCATATATCTTCTCCAGGCAATGCGCGATACTCTGTTGAGGATCTGGAAGTTTTATAAAGTTTGAGAGATCTTTTTTGGTAATGCACGGTGACTTTGTCACAGATTCGTCAATCTGTTCCCTTCACTAAGTAAATATACTTGTCCCTGCTACTGCAGTTTTGCAACCTGGTTAAAAAGACTCAAGATTCAGTTTGTTTGTGGCAACGCGATCTGCCGAGGGAGGATGCCTTCCGGAAGTGTTTTCTAAGGGAAACTGGCATTACAAATGTGAAAAAACCGAAAAACTGCACGTGGCCAGATTGTTGGCGAGACGCGAATCCACGACCAACCACTTGTTCAATGGTTTTGTCCACTCGGCCAGGGGTGTCGTTTCCACTATAGAAGGTATGGAAGACTCCATACCTCACATTTCTACAGGTATAGAATTCCATACCTCAGAATGTTGAAAAATTTATTTATAATTTAATGCAAGGCAAGCATATGCACTTGCTCTCTGTATGAAAACAAATTTTTTCCTTGGATGTTGACCAATCGAACTCTTTTTTTTTTCTAACTTTTCTAATTTTTCTAACTCTAAGCAATGCATCATCATTTTGTGAAAGCAGGACCTTGCTTTCACAAAATTCCATACCTCAACTTTTAAAACTTTTAAAGAACCGACACCCATGCACTCGGCCACTGGTGGTTTCTCAAGAGTAGTACTTTATGCTTTTACTTAGCTTTCACTTAATGCTTGTAACAGTTAATAACGGTGAATAAAATATTGCTTTCTTGTATAAAATTTATTCCCTAAATATATTAAAGAAAGGGACCCGAAAAACTTTAAGCCAAGGTTCTCAGAAAGTTAGATCCGTCCTTGACTGGAAGGACAATCTCGTTGCTCGCATATTGTAGTTATCTCTTTGAAACGAATTATTAAAATGAATTTATTCTTACAAAATACTATCGTTTTATAAAACTGTTATTCAAGAAAAGCAAATCTCAGGAGAAAAAATTGCTTTCTAAATATAGCATTTCATTCAGTCGCAACAGAAAATTTATATAAGTTATAGAACCTGGAGTTGTAAAGGAGCTGATGTAAAATCGGGAATCTACTTTCTTTTTGAGAAATACAAAATTAAAATATACTGAAAAAAAAATATCAAAGATGCTAGAGAAATCTAAGATTCAGCTTTCAATAATTTTTTTTACAAGTATTAGTACATGATTTCATTCTATAAGATTTCAACAGGAAGAAATAGATGGCCTGGAAATAAGAAATATGGGAACTCGGGATCGAATGCGGATCAGCAATTTCCAGTAATTTCACGTGGGTTCTGAAATTGTTCCGGATATGTCAAGTCTCGTCCGTCACAAGTAGGCTGCCCCCATTGTGGTTCTGGCCGAATCCATGATAAATATGATTTAAAAGGTTCTCTTAGTGCTCACAGGACAGAAAGAATAAACGAAAATAAAATGAAGATTTTAATGGAGTACATTTCGATCTTAATTCAATAAAATCAAAATATATTGCTAATTATTGTATGATATTTGTGAAATTATTTAAAATAATTGTATGATTTTAAATAATTTTAGAGTTTTTGTTATCTGATAATATTAAGGGATACTAAGACTGATCGACTTAGGCCACTATTCTGTGGCGTCATCTGTTATCAGATTTTTTTAAAAAACTATATTATTAACTACTGTATTATAAAATGGCAAAATGCTTTATTTTCAGGGCAGGGTTGAGTTTTATAAAGGAAATTATAAATGCTAATGATGAGTAAAATCGTCATTAAGTCCGACCCTACTCGAGATATGACACACGACCCCTCTTTATCTCCCCACTCCGTCGACCTTTAACCCCTTATATACAAGCTACCATTCCAAATTTCATTTCTTACGCATTACCCCATCTTGAGATATTAAGCGAAATACGCGCCAATATACACATCTACGAAATTTTTCCTGTTTTTATACTTTTTGGGTTCAGGAGCTCTAGAAACGTGGAGATTGCAAAAAATTCGGAGGGTGATTCATAAAATTTTGATTCATTTTAGAAATAAGCAACTTAAAATATTATTTTTTAGCTTTAAATTGCAGTTTTAAGAAAGTTATTTAATAAATGGGAACATGCGTTTCTGATCTCTTACAAGTTAGTCAGAAACAAAATGGCGGATTATTATGCTGGAGTAGTTCTAGTTTCGTAAACCAGATGGCGTCGTAATCTTCACAACAGAACTTAATTAATTACGTTGATTGGTAGATATTTTATAATGGTGCTTTGAAATTTATAAAATAATTAGTTAATTTGCATTATATAAATTATATCAATGCAGTTTTAGACTTTGAGGTATTTTAATTAATACTAATGTTATTCATTTTTAATTTAGTAAAACTTGAAGGAAATGAAGATACATGTCAAAAATGGAGATGACAGTCAGTTTCTTTATGAAACTGTGACTGATGCTGAAACAAGTTTGATACTAAGTGATATTGTTGCTATCTACAATGGAAGATTAAAAGTTGGAAGGATTGCTGGAGGTATGTTTTGTATCAATAAATACCTATATGAAGTAGTATCAGTACTGTTAGAGTGGAAAACCACTTTATTTTACAAAACTATAGAATATAATAATACAATAAAACAATAAATTTAGTCCACTTCAAGCAACTGGAACATCAATGTAATGGTCAAGAAATGATACCTAACAATTGCTCCTGATTTTAATTTAAAAGTTGTGTAATTAATTTCTTAATTTAGCATTTCTTAATTTGTTAATTTGCAGTCCTGGAGATGAGTAAGGGTGTCATTTTCATCATTCGCTTCTCCTTGAGGTATCTGTTTTGTTTCCTTCATCTTCAGATTTGGTGATGCTCATTTCTATTATCTGTTTCCACCTCCTGCAATATTCCAATGTTTGTTGTTGTTATTTCCTTGTGGATAATAAGATTTGATCATTCATACATGGACTGGTTTTGCATTATTCTGGTCTTTTGTATTTTCCATTGGATAACAGACTATTTTGATAGAACACATGATGTGGAATGTGCAAAATATAAGGTCTCCCAGGTGAATTTTGTATCTAAGTGATTTGCATAAAAATGTTGCTTACTTTGCTTTTTTGATGTTAATGACATCAAACCTACTTTATTTTTACAAAGCTACAGAATATATAGTAAACTAGTTAATACAATAAAACAATAAAATTGACTGGTTTCAAGTAATTAGGTCAATGTCAATTTAGCAGACAAGAAATACTATTGAGAGATATTCATGGCTCCGGTTTACCCCATCACATGTTTATGATGACCGTTTATTTTCTGAGAGATTGGTTAAATCTATCAAGTCAGGATTCATGACACCACTTAGTCAATTACACGAACTAAGACATCTTTTATAAGAAATTTCCTTCAATCAAATTGTTTAAAATAAGCCCTCCACATTTCCAATGCATAATGAAAGTTGGACAGTTCTGCAGATAGAGTGTGAAAAATCCCATGTTAAGCTATCATCTTTGAAAGAACTATCTTATCTTTCTCCAACTAAACAGGAAGTTCCTTTTTCAACTTCATACAACTTTTACAAAACAAATAAAATTCTATCAATTAATTAGAACAAAATCTTGTTATATAATTTAACAAATTAAATTATTAACCCTGGATTCTCCCACTATTTAACAGTACTAATTATATATACAGTATTTGATTCAATAAAGCAGTGTTTTACATTTATTCAGTTTTGAAATAGTTAATTTTTAGTTTATTTTCATGAAATTTGAGATTATTGATCTTAAAATTCTTGATAAATTAAATAAATTGTGTATAAGAAGGTGTTTTACCCAACTGGTTGGCAATTTTGGCTAAGAAAGAGAGTGTGGTCATCATCCCTACAGTAATACCATAATCTGCCATTGACTTTATGTTAGTGAGAAACAGACCATAAAAACAGGTTGAAGAGATTGATGCATATGGGCTATAAGCTGTATTTTTACAGATGTTACATCTACAATTTCTTTATGTAAAAAAAAAAAGGGGGAAGCATTTGGCTAACAACATATTATATATACAGTGAATAGGGTTAAACTGTTTAAAAGAAGGGATTCTTTTGAACTGCTTAGACACATTCTCTGTAATTATAGCCCTGGTGGTAATTTAAAAAACTTTTTAAGTTGTAAGTAAACAGTATAAGTTTGATCATTTGGGATATTCTGTTTCTATTCTTTCTTATAGACCAGGGGTGGCCAACCTTTTGCATACCATGCGCCAATTTTTTGACAGACGAGTTCAAATGCGCCATATAACTCGAACACTTTTTATACAGTCTTACGTTCAATGTTAGGGGTTGATAAATAGAGATAAGAATAAATCTGCTTCGCTTAGGAAAGAAAAGGGAATAACTTAATCATGCAGTTGAATTAATTAATTTATGACAGTTTATTGAAACACCAATTTACAATAGTCAACAATGATCTCCTATACGAGAGGGTGATTGCTTCATGAAGGTGCTATTGCTGCCAGAGTCTCGTTTGGTGAAGATTACTCTGCACCACAATTATTGGCACTGAGAACGAGATCAGCTTGGAATAACTTTAATCACAATAAATGTTTTTGGCCATTTACACACCTGTAAACTGATCGGAAATAAAGATCGCAAGACTCAAAATACATGCATACATTGTAATTTACTATGTGGAGAATACTCATTTTATCTGCAAAATAGACTGTAACGAATTGTGCAACAAATGAACTTGCCAAGACAGACTATAAAAAATTTATTTTTCTATATAATATTCTTAATCGCAAAAAAGCCAAATCTGGCAATTTTGCTCAGAACTAACTGAAGCGCCACTTGTAATCGTCCAATGTGCCACGTTTGGCGCATGCGCCACATTTTGGCTACCCCTGTTATAGACTATAAAACTACAACTGCCATATAACATTAGACTCAGCAGTATCTCAGTACTCAAACTGTTCTGAACTGGAACAATTCAGTATTTGAGCTCAAGATTTGGAAAAATCGCTCAGTACTCGACTGAACAATTGTGACATACTAGAACAAATTATTCATTAATAACATATTTTTATTTTGTCATTCATAGAAAATTATGATAAAAATAAAAAAATGAAGATGTTGCTGATATTTCTGATCAAGATCAACAAAAAAGTTCAGATGACAATGATACATTGTAAAAAGAAAATGCTTTGTTTAACTAAAATTAATATCAACAATGCTTTTAATTGTGCTTGTTACTTAATTATTGATTGAAAATAAAGTATTGATTGCTTTAATAAACATATTTCTCTTAGTAACGAAAAAGAGTAGTTTACTTTTGTTAACTTCTGTAACCTAACCATATATTTTGCATTAGTCCTTTGTTTCACATTGCATGTATTTGCATAACATGACACTTTTTCAGAACATATGCACCATGTTATACAAGGGATACCTTTATTTAATTTTCCACATCTAACAACTGGGTTTTTTCATTTCTGAATGATATCTTCTTAATTTTAATAAGTCCCCACCAATGTCTGAGTGGATAACACCACTGAACACTGGTAGTTGGTTGTGGGTTTGTGCATCACCAGTGAGCTGCCATGTGGAGTTTTCTTCATGTTAGTAACAGCTAAATAGGGACTAATTTCCCATAAAAGTCCTCCTGGGAGGCATCCTTCTTGGCAGATCACCTATGTGTTGCATTGCTATAACTAAATAAACCAAACTAATTCTAATAATTTTTCTATAAACTTGCTATTTATGAGGACATAGACTTCCTATGTAGTTAACAGGTATTCTGATAATGTTCTTAAAATGGATTTTACCACATACATTTTTGAAATTTATGTTTAATAATACTGGATATAATAATTACTGTGATGGTACTTTATAAACCTGGGAAAAGTGAGTATAAAAGGCATATTTAATTGAATTTTTGTTCAACTTTTTAAAATTAATTTAAAATTTCATTTATTTTTACACCTAAAAATATGCTTTCTATCTTTTGTAAAATCAAAAATGAATTGAACTAATTATGAATAAGAAAAGTAAGATTTCTTTATAATTTCCTTTAGAAGATCTTAATAATTAATATTTGATTTTTCAGAAATAGAAGAATTATCTAAACATGGAATATTTCTGCCACCAAATATGCAGGGATTGACAGAAGAACAAATTGAAGAATTAAAACTTAAAGATGAATGGGGTGAAAAATGTATTCCTAGTGGTGGCTTTATTGAAAACAAAGATCCTATAGGAAGAAGAAATGGAAAAGGTTGTAATTTATAATTTTTTAGGACTATTGCTTCTTGTCCTTACTTTCATTATTCTAAAAAACGTTTATTATTTTCTGTAATAAACAATAAAAATTTTAGATATTTTACAAATTGTAGACATGTATCCTAAAAATTGCAAAAATTTCAATAGCCTTTTTGTTAATTTTGACTAATTGCACATGTGCATGAGACAACATACATTCTTTCTAGAATGCTCTTGATACCATTTATTTAAAAGGTTATGTAAATAACATTCCATTATAAAAATGAAAGGATTAAATGAATTTGATTGAAGAAATGCAATTGGCAGATTTTATACTGAAAATTGCAAAAACAGAAAACTTTATACAGTTCTTATAATATCTTATAGCATTTCTCTGCAATGGAAGTTCCATGGCATACAGTGTATAGCATTATTTCAAGAGTAGAGCAAAGAAAATCTTCAGAACAAAGAAATGGTTAGAAAAGGAGGAAAATGACTGAAAAGAAGAGGAACCAATTGGAGAAAGATGCTTTGGGAAAAATTGGACAAATGCTTAGAAAATTGGGAAGAAAGTTCAAAATTTTATGTAGACATGTTTGCTGATTCTGAAGGAACATCAAGTGATTCTTAAGAAGTGAAAATCTGCTCCAAAGTGCACAATGAATAAACTTACTACTCAAAAAAAAAAAAAAAAACTCTTCTGCAGAAGGCACATGATGATGTCTCAAAGGTGTCAAATAATCTTGATGTGGTTAATATATTCCAATAAATAATCTGGCAGATTGTTTGGTAATACAAGTGAACTGGGTACTAGTGCTATAATTCTATATTTTTATATAAAATCAAAGATAAATCTTATAGTATGAAAAAATTTTACAGAATTTTTGTAATTAACTAATTCTAGAATCTTATATATGCTATCATGCCAAATTAGATTGTTGATGATATCAAAAGAAAAAAGATGCATAAAGTTTCTGAGCAGATAAACAGAATAGAATACAAAAAAGCAGAAAAAATTTCTATCAGAGTAAACATAAAGAAAACAGAAAAATTAAATAGTAATTAATTTATTTACTTAAACTTTTGTAAATCTCTGATAAAACTGTAAAACTGATATTAGTGATGATATTGGATTATAAAATGGAAGGAGACAAATGTGTACAGTACATGCTGATTATTTTCCAGAAAAATTATTTAGTTTAATAGTTTAATTTTATAAACAGTTTTATTATTTTCTTATTGTTTCTATAAATGACAAGAAATTATTAACTTGTGATAAATTCTGTCAAAATATTTTTAATTTTCTCTTGATATAGAGAAATACTTCAAGTAAAAAATATTATTCTTTCATATATACATACATACAGTTTTTATTTTATTTTTTAAAATTAGCTCCAAATGACAAAATGGCAGAAGTTTTAAATAAAACTGCTAGTGAAGCAAAAGCTAAAATTTCACGAGTAAGTATAAGATAATTTGTAATTTTTTATATTGTAATTATTTGTCTAAAGAACTATTTTTAAGAATCAAAAATAATAGTAAGCAGAATCCACTTATTGCAATCATGGATATTTTTTTTATTTAGTCATATAATCATCATGCTAATCTGAATTAGCATGTCAAACATACAAATTAAAATACACTTATAAAATTTTGGTTATTGCAATCAGAAATTAAGTTGTCATCATTATCTTTTTGCACTGTCAGTCTCATGTCATATATTAGATGCCTTCATTATCAGTTATCATTATCAATCTTAACCAGTGTTTTAAATGTTAAATTTTTATCAATTTAATTGCTATTTGCTTATTGTACAGTGCTTTTTAAATTTCTATCATTTCTTTAATTGTTAAAGACATTACTGCAAAAAATAACAGGCTAAGAACACTGGATGAATCACTGCTATTTAATAATAATAATGTATTTATTCTAATAAACAGTGCAATGTCTATGACTTTTTCATCTTGCAGTTGTGCTGTTTATTAGTGTGCACTTACTATTAGAAGACTATTATTAATACTATTTCTGTTCTTTGGGAATTGGGTGTGACTATTATTCAAGGAAGAGTATCAATTAATGGAATAAAACTAGTATTTTTTCACTTTGTTGTTAAAACAATGTAACACACAACACACATGCACTATTTCAACATACAGTAAAAGTGACAATGCTGAACAGAATGTACAAGTTTTTATTTTACAATAAGCCTTATTTTTCTCCTAAAGACAGTGTATTTACTATTAGAATAAATACAGTAATTACAATTAATAAGTATTCAATTTATACACTTTTTAATTGTTTCAATATCTTCTTAATGCCAGAATCAATAAGACCAAAATTTCCACTACTTGTCTTATTTCCTTACCCCACTTAATATGATCAGTCATGCATCAAATGTTTTATTTTTAAGAATTAGATTTTGTAGAAATCATAAGACTGAATTAAAAGATTAATTAAAAGCTATGAAACTTGACATAAGTTTGATAAATAAAAACATCCCCACTACTTATTAATGTTATAAATAATTGTTTATTTGAAATAGACAACTGTAATTTAAATTGTCTATTTAAAAGTTCTATGATATATATAATTTATAGAAAATAGAATTCTGTATTTTTTTGAAATGTAGTAAACTGAAGATAACAAAAGCCAAAAGCATTTTTATAAATAATTCTTGATAACCTTAACAAGCAGTGTAGAATGATTTATTTATACAAAAAGTAATATTTATAGATAAATTATTATGTTAGTATGTAATATCAAGAGAAACATTTATCAATATTAATTACAATTCAATACTATTCAATATTAAATACAATTCAAACTATATATATAGCATATCTATTTTTCAGAAACTTGTGCAATCAGATATATCTTTAAACCAAATAGTTATAAAAGATGCATTGGATATATTACGTGGAGCAGTGATGATAGTTTATCCAATGGGTTTACCACCATATGAACCAATACATTTAGAATTAGAAAATCAAGAAGATTTGTCAGGAACACAGGTAAGCTATATGTAACTTTCACATTTTTATAAGATAGCTGCATTGTGATAGTCTTATTTTTTCATTTTTAAAAAAACTTCTTCATTAAGAAAGATTTGAAAAACAAAAAAAAAATGTTTAAAAGAATATGCTTTTATTTGAAAATCTTATTTATGGCCAAAATTTAGAATTATTAGTCTTTTTTTTGTAGCTAGTAGTAATAGATAATGAAAACAGAAAAATAATAACATTTAAAACATGTTTATTTGCCAAACTATAATTCTAAAATTTTCATGATGTTAATGTGGTATTCCTAAACTTTGCCACAGCCTACAAAAAATAATTACATAGGGCATATAATTTTTTTTCTTTTGCCAAATTAAACTTTTCACTACTGTTTGTTATTATTATAAGCTGACACTTTTCTACAAAAATTTATTATTACAGTTTTAAAATGTGATTTAGATTTATAAGAAGAAAATCTATAAAATCCATATTTTATGGATTATTGACTATTAAAATTCTAATTTAGGATATTTATATCTAGGCATCAAATGAAGTAATAGAAGAAAATTTAGCTCAACTTTGGTGGGCTGGTAAAGAAATCCAACGAGGAAAGAAGCTAAAAGATTACGTAGGAACTAATGAAAAAACTAAAATCGTTGCCAAATTACAAAAAGTATTTTTACATATATGTTTGTTTTTAATTGATTAAACTGCTATATATTTTATTATAATAAATGTGTTGTTATAATACCTAATAGAAAGGACAAGGCCCCCCTTCTAGAGAACCTATTTTAACAGAAGATGAAAAAAAACAGTTAATGATACAAGCTTATAGAAGACAAGAAGAATTGAAGGTATAATTATTACTTTTAATTGTGACATACAAATGAAATTATCTTTTCTTGTTTACTAATTTTAAACTTAGTGAAACTTATTACAGTAGGACCTCAGTAATCCAAACTATTATCCAAAATTCTGATTAATCTACCAGTCAGTTCTTCAATGATTTTAACAAAATGGTCAAAAGTAAATCTGTATTTCTCTCTTAACAAAAATGCATGGCTTTTGGCAAAAATGCATGGAAAAAATTCTTACCTTGCACTGCCCAGAATATGCAGTGTGTACAAACCTTCAAATTAAATAAAAAATGTATTATTAGAATAGAAAATGATGTTTTTTCCTTCCAATACAATCATACACTTATTCATGGAAAGAGATTGAAAATTGTCATATCCACAAACCTAGTTTGTCAGTTCTCAAAAAACTGACTGTTGTCAGTCATCCTTATGTAATACAATGGGCACATTCAACTACAATATATTGAGAAACTCCATATTAACATAAAAATTCTGTTGAGAAAAAATTTTGGATAATCAAGAACAATCAACCTGAACAGATTAAGGTACTAATTAGCTAGATTAATGAGATACTATTGTATTAATATTTAAAACTAAAGAATTTTAATGAATTATAATTAATCAAATTTACACATTTTCTGCCACATTATGTAGTTACTATAATATTTGAGGTTTGAAATTATTTTGAGAAGCTTATTTATCACTGCTTTTTAAATTTGTAAAGAAAAGCTACCAATAATTCAGAATTCTAAGGCATAATACTTGCAAACTTTATACAAAATCTTGAGTACATACTCTTCAATTTATACAAAATCTTGAGTACATACTCTTCAATTTACTAGAAGTAAATTTGATACTCACAAAACAGTTTGAATAGTATTACCAACAGTGTAACAAACTATTTTTAACAAAAATAATTTTCTTTATGATATTTCTTTCAGCAAATCTTGCAAAACCAACAGAAATATGAGTCCCTGTTCCAATTCTATTTAGTAACCTAACTGGTTTATATACATATATAAATTAATTAGAGAATTCTAAAACAATTTTTGTATATTCTTATTTATCAACATTTCTTGATTGTAAAAAGTATATATAATTTTAATTTTTATTCTCTGATGTGTTTTTAAATTCATATAATAATTTTATTTAATAAACAATTCTTAGCTTGCTAAAGTATTTTATCTTTTGCTAGTGTACTGATTAATGACATAAAGAAAATTGGTATTATGGATTGTATGAATTTCATATATTCTGTAATAAACAAAATAGTTATTAAATAAAATATATATTGTATTTAATGTATAACAAAATATACAGTATATTATTGGTTATTAAAAATAAAATTTATTTTCAAAGTAAACAAAATAAATTTTTAATAAAATTTTTATTTTTGCTTACTGTTTATTTGTGGTTAGATGCATAATAATTAGTACTATATAACGATAAACACTATATTTGTGTGCAAGTAAATAAAAATGAATTAGTTAAAGCAGGATATAATTTCATTCATTTCATAGAAAACACATTTAAATATTGTAAAAATTATCAAATTATCCTTAAAAATAGATAGAGAATTAATTAAATGATTAATAGTAAAAATGATTTGGTTATTTTATTATTTAAAATAAAGTTCTTAAATCAGCAAATTTATTTTAAAACAGTTGTCAAAAATGTTACATAGTTGTTTTTTAAATAAATCTGCAGGCTTAAAAGAATTTCAGTATTGTCCTGTAGCCAAATATTTGTTTATGTTTATTTTATTACTGTTTATTTTCAATTGCATAACACTAGTCAATGTAGAAAATACAGTGGTACCTCAGGTTACGAACGCCCCAGCATACGAAATTTTCAGGATACAACACGAAATTCGAACATATTTTTGCTCCACGATACGAACAAAAACTCACCATATGACGTTACATTAGTTCGCATTTTTCATTTGTTTTTCTTACTACAGTTATTTTTTTTAATGTATTACTTGGCTTTAATTTGAGTATGTTTTTCACGTTGGAACGAATTACTGTATTTGGTTTTACATGTAATCGTATGGGAAAAGATGATTCACCTTACGACATTTTCATGATACGATCTCAGTTTCGGAACAGATTAATTTCGTATCCTGAGGTACCACTGTATGTTGTTTCTATAAAACAAGAAATTACTAAATTGAAGTTATTAAATAAAGTTTATTTGAAGAAATACTTGTGGCCAAAGTTTCTTTATCATAAACAAAATAGTTATTAAATAAAATATATATTGTATTTAATATATATCATGTGTGTTAATTGAACTTTAATTGATATTAGAGTCTTTTATGATTTTATTTTTTTCATTAATTAATATTTGTGTTCTAGAATTTTAGCAAGATCAGAATTGATTTTAAATATTAAAATTATGTAAAATTAATATAAAATTAAAATTAAAATATCCTATAATAGTTAAATGCTCATGAAAATTGTTGCAAATGATTGATGTATTTGCACTAGTATGGAAAAAGAAATAAGAGTACTAATATTATTTGTTTCATTAGAAAAAATGCTTATGAGAATTTATTAATTATTTTTTAATATTTAATTAATAGTAAATTATGGAATGTTCTAAAATTATATAAAATTTTATATCATTGACCTGGAAGCTCTTTGTTCTGTCTCCACTTTTGTAAGTTTTGGTTAATTGAGCTTTAAAGTTTAAGAGAAGTATTATAAGAGTAGATATAGAACAAATTATAGCTCTAGCAGTGTCATTAGTGGAGATATGAGTTAAAATAGATTTGAGGGAAGATGGAGGTAGGAAAGTAAAATAACATATTATTCAAATTTCAAAATATGCAAAAATGGAAAAGAACAGACTGGTTCCAAGCCAGCAATAGGTAGTAAAATTATTTTTTTTAAATTATTACTTCTTCCCAAAATTTATGGAATATCATCATCAAATCTACATTTTACAATTTTTCCTGATGTGAATTTGTGTTTCATATAGAATTTTTGATTTTATTTTTTGTTGTTGTTGTTGTTACATTCTTGTGGAATTCTCCCTAATATTATTTTCTATTTCATTCTAGAAATATGTCCACTTTGTATCAATTATCAGTCTTCAACTTTTTCTAAATATTTTATTAATTTTTAATTTTTTTGACTTCATTATTTGCTCTTTTTGTGATACGCTAACACAAAGATGGGCAAATAAAATGTCTAAGGTAGAGACCAGATTATGTTTAATCCTTCACAATTTATAGGATTATTAAAATGACATATATAACGAAAGAATTGCAATTGCTATGAACAGTTTTGTGTTATTTATTGTAATGTTTATACTTACATGTACTGTACCTATGATTGATTTTATTAATAAGAAAAACAAAGCACAAATTTAAGATATTCCACTTATTATAAATATTTTGAAACAACCATGGACCAGATTATATATACACTGCTGGCCAATAAAATTGCTACATCACGAAGGCAGCAAGTGAGAAATGTGAAATTTACGTGAAAGGAACATGTTGGGATATGCAAATTATTAGCATTTCAACACATGCTCACAAAGCAGGTAGGAGCAAGGCCATCTATAGTCCATATAAAAGTTCATAAAATGAGTTTCTCATGCAGAAATCTTATTCACACGTTGGTTGCTTGTGTAAAAGTTTTGTTATGCCTTGTGTAAAGTGGAATGTCTACCAGCATGTGTCAAAGTTTGATCATAGTAGAATGGTAGCCTGCCGGGACTGCAGTTTATCATTCTGCACTATTGCTGCTTTCATTGGTCATGATCCCATGACTGTCACAAGAATATGGAATTGATGGGTCGAGGAGGGCCATACAGAATGCCACATGGGATCTCACTGATTCCCCCAGTCACTTACACCCGAAAGGACAAACATCTTGTCCACATGGCCTTTATATAACTGCATCATTATGTGGGTCCAGCACCTGGTGTGATGGTATAAGGTGCCATTGGGTGCACATCATGGTCACTCCTTGTTCACATAGCCGATAATTTGGACAGCCACTGTTATATTTCTGATGTGTTAAGGAACTTTGCTGTGCTCTATCTTCGAGGCCTCTGCCAGGCTACTTTTCAACAGGACAATACACGACCTCATGTTGCTCATTCTGTCTTGACCTTCCTGAATACAGAGGGTGTTTGATTGTTGCCATGGCCAGCACATTCTGCAGATCTGTCACCAATTGAAAATGTCTGGTCAATGGTTGTCGAGAAACTGGCACATCACTCTCCAGTCAGTATGATAGATGAACTCTGGGATAGAGTTAAAGTCGGATTATAGCTGTTATTGCTGCCAGGAGCAGCTGCTCTGGGTACTGATTTCTGCATACTCTGTACCACAAAATTACCTGTCAATTTAATCATGTCTTCCTCCCATTACACTGTATGTGTACAATAAATATGATTCTGCTATTTGCTTTCTTTCCTGGTGAAGCATTTTTAATGGCCAGCAGTGTATGGTCCAAAGTTGCCTGCCTGTATAGGTTGTTTAATCCTGTTTTAGATGATCATAACGCACTTATTTCTGTGCACAATTTTTTTCTTTTGGCTTGTTATTGCTTAATATTAGAGCCATATAACTTTTTCATGATAAAATTCTGCTTGTAACAAATTTTAGTTGATATTTCTATTATTTTATGTTTACAAATAATTTTTTTTTTTTTTGTTGAATAATTTTTTCAAATCTTAATATCACAACATATAAAAAGAGTATAATTATTAAGTCTTTTATAATTACTTTCAAAGTGTAAATATCGTGTGTTCATTAATTCTTAATTTTTATGCTACTTTTTGTAATTTTTTTACATTATAAATGCTTGTCTCTCTAATTTTCAGTTGATACCGTACAAATTGCGAAGTATTTCCTTAAAGCGGGATTTGATTAATACACAAAATTGACTGTGGCAATCCCTTTATATAAGTGGCATATAAATTTTAATTAATATGGCTTTACTAGCTGTCTTTACTTAACATAGATACCATATATTTGATATATGCAGTAGCATATATGGATTAATTGTGTTAAGGGATACCTGTAATATTTTTCATTGATTTATAATCAATTTTGTTGTATTTTCTGTTCAGTCTTTTTCCCCCGCTACAAAAATAAAGTTAGATATATAGTGTAATTCAGTAAAAATTCTTTTACAATAAGAAAATTACTGATGAGAGATCACCAATTTTTGTTGGATATAATCAGTTTTCTTATGATGTTTGCTCTTAAATATATAAATTTAAGGTTTTATTGTTAATAATGAAAATATTTGAAAGTTTAAATTAACTTTTTAATATATTTTTTCTTGTTTTCTATATTAGAAACTTGAAGAAGCTGATGATGATAGCTATTTAAATTCAGAATGGGCAAATAATAATTCCTTAAAGAAATCTTTTCAAGGATTAAAAAACATCAAATGGAGACCATGAACAAGAGGTTAAAGAATGAATTGTGTAATGCCATTATTGTATTAACAGTATTGTTCTTTGTTTAAATTAAATTTATTAAATTTATTCTGTTAATAAAAATACATATTATTAAAATATAATCACTTATTTGTTTTTATTTATTTATCTTAATTACAATTGGAAAAGTCTGAGTAAGACAAAAGATTTCCACCCCCATATGACAATAAAATAAGCAACAAATAAAAAAGGCTAAAAATACATTAAAACACACCAAAAAAAACAAAGTAAAAAGAAAAAATTAAAAGTTATAAAGAATTCTTTTGCAAATATTTTGAAAATGAGTAAAATTTTTATAAAGTATATTTTTGAGGCTTGTCATTTTTCATCATAGAAATGCGATAAAAAAATGATTTTTGAGAAATGGACAATTTAAAAAAAGGAGTAAAAATACATGAAGGATTAGAAAGATGCTGAGGAGTTTTCAGGAATGTGTTAAATATTTAAAATATAAAAGCCAATCAAAATATTTTATTCGTTCTGTAAAAGAAGGTAGCCCCAAATCTGGACCTAGCCACATTCAGATGATTCGTAAAAGGCCAATGACATAGTCTATTTAAAATAAAATATATTTTGTCTAGTTCTTTAGAAAATTTTTTAAAAGGAAAGGGTCTGCCATGACCCAGATCAATAAACCATAGTCTTAACAGGAACTTAAAAAAAAAAAAAAAAAAAGATAGAACATAATACCTGTTTTGATGAAATGGATCGGCAAAATTTCCAAAGGATCCTACAATATATGGTGAGCAATTTTACTACTTCGGTAATATAGTAAAATCACTCACCATACACCATAATGTTTTTAGTTTTCATCTTTCACTGCAAAACTTTTCATAGTTGACATTATTGAAGAATACTTTGAAAATAAAATAATGAAAAAATTTTTTTAAATGTCACAAATATACAAAAAACTTTGTTTTCACTTTCTGTTGTCTCAATTTTTAAATTTTTACTTAATTGTATTATATTGTGATTTTGGTAAAATTACCAGAGGATGCTGTTTCCAATTTTCATTTTATTGTGGAGGCAGAGCCTTCAATAAAATCTCATCTCCATATATGAAAATTGTTTTAAGAATGTCACTGGTGTATTGAAATGATGGAAAAGGAAAACAAAAACAAAGTTTTTTTATATATTTGTGACATTTTTAAAATATTTTTTAAACTGTAAATACTATCAGCCTGTAAAGTTTTTAAATTTTTACTTAATGAAAAAAATGTAGAATCATATAAAACTAAGTAATTTAGTAAAATAAATGTCTTTATATATAAAGTGAATTTGAAATTAAAGTATGAATTGATATTACACTTTCACATCTGATTACAATAATAAATAAAAATTCATATAATGATGTCTCTTTACATGCTGTAATATATGTTAAATATATATAATTTTAACAATAAAAGAAAAACACATTAAAATCAATTATTATTACGCACTAATTTGAAACACAATTTCTACCTTGTTTTATTTTTTAAATTTTAAACAGTAAAGCTAATGATTAGAAAACTGCTCAAATCAATGTGATTTACTGAATTTTACAGTATTAGAAGAACTTTGTTTTATTAGGAATGTTACATTTAATATCAAAAATAATTACAATGCAGTCTCGCTAATCCAAAATGTTGTATGGGATACTTCAGATTAGCAGGGTTGTACATAAATAAAAGGAAATCAAAAGGACTACAGAAAAATATACAGTTGAGTCTGCATAAGTCATCATAGGTCCATCAGTTAAGTAGTCAGTTTTCTGTGCTCCAGGCCAACTTACATAGACATTAACATTAAAAAACTCTGGTTTACTCAACACTATTTAACTCGTTACCACTGGATAAATTGACATACTTTTTTCTGTCCCACACTCATTTAGATGTCTGATAAATCAACTCCCCTCCTGAAAGAAATGTGTGTAATGTCACAGTTTAATCCAATTTTGCATTTTTTCACCTTTCATTCATACATTATTTGCAGCATGTGTTTCACATTTCTTTTAAAAATGAGTATCCGAAACCTAACGACGCTTACACTGAAGGAAAAATATGAACTTGTATCCAAATTTGAATGTAATAAAACTTTGCAAGCCAAATTTGCAAAACAAGAAAACTTTCCAAGAACAACATTGGTGGGAATTCTGAAAAAAAAAGGGAAAATTATGATTGAATAAATACTCCATTTATACTAATAATACTTATATTGACCTCTCAAATAATCAATGTCCATGGTGCAAAAGCTAAAGACTCTTCAATGGAAGATCTACTTTTAAAATTATCTAAAAAATTTGCGATTCCCTCAAAATTACTCAAATTCTACAAACAGAATCTTCACATAACAATAAAAAACAACTTAAACAATATGAATAAATTTGAACTTTATAAAATATATAATTACTTTACCAAGAGTATTAAAATATTGGAAAACTAAACTAGTTAAGTAAATTCAAAATAATGATCAACTAGAACATCGTTGCATAACTGTAAAAATGAGAATAATTACTCCTTATATTATAAAATGTTAAATATAATATGTAGACTATTGTAAACAAATATTTATTGTGGCTATTCTATTAACAAATGTAATAATATGTAGTGTACTAATAGAAATCTGTATTCCCTCAAGAAACAGGAAAAAATTCCTTATAATAATAAATTGTATGTTTAAAATAATTACAGATCCAATATTTTTGATGTTTCCATAAATGCTTAAAAAGAATGGTTAATGTCACACATAGGGTTCTGGGAATGCATTCTATTTGGGAATAATTAAAAAAGTTAAATTTAAATTTATTTAAATAAATTTAAGATATCGTAAAATAAAATAAAATAAATTTAAGATATCGTTATTTTATTAAATAACACAATATCTTAAATTTATTTAAGATATTTATTTTCAATTGATGTCTGACGAATGAAATTATGCCATTTCAAACCATCTGAGTATTACAATAAACATGACAATGGTAGGCTGAAATAACCAAACTCTATATGGTTTTCATTTTGCTATTTGTTATATCATAATACTGTATTTGATTTATATAACTACAAACATTATTTATCAACTAAATAAAGATGAGAAAACCTGCCAAGTGTCTTAATTTATAACACTTTATTGTGTTAGAAGCATAAACAAATTGTACAGCACGGTTTCATATCATCAAAATACAAACATTATCTTACATAAGAGTTTATCACACTGAATGACCAAGCCAACACATTTTAAAAATTCTTTAAATTGTATACAGTAGAGAAAGAAAATTTTAAAAATGTGTTAGATTGGTCACTCGGTTTGATAAATCCTTACATAAGATAACCTTTATAGTTATATAAATCAAATACCATAATATAACGGTTAAAGTATGAAATAATCTAAAAATCGTAATGTTTATACTTATTTTTTGCTCGGGCAATGCTGGGCTTACCTGCTAGTAATAGAATATTTCTCTCTCCGTTCTTGCTTTTTGGTCGATCTTCACCAAATGTTTTTTGCTTATTCTCTGGGACTCTAAGGAAAATATAGAATATTGTTAAACCTGGACACCCCATCCCCTTAATAACTCTTAAACCTTTTGCCCAATCTGTACTAAATTTTTTATACTTATTCTCTAGAACTCCAAGGAAAATATAGACTTCCATAAAATCTGAGCACCCACTCTCTTCCCGATTGATTTCCTCAATGCTTCACAATAAATGTAACAATGGTAGGCTAAAATTACCAAACTTGTAATATAGTTTTCATTTTAATGTTTATCCTTCCTTTTTTGTCTGGGAAATGCCACACATATCCACTAGTAATTTATAAAATAAGAGAGTCACTTTTAAAATGTTAAAGAATTCCAAATGTTATACTTCAAATAAATATTGATTACTGTTAATTCATATCCTATTTAAATTTTTCTACTTTTAAAAAATATAATAATAATGCTTTATCTTGTTAATATTTATCAAATGAAGTAAGGCTAACCTTTATGAATAAGAGAAACAACTTATTTATTTTTACACAGTGCACTTTCACTAATTCAAAGTTTGCTTACTTTAAACTAAATTTGTTCTTTTCCACTAAATGTACTGGCCGAAAAGAAAGAAATTATATATAGTTTTCTAAAAAGGGACAAATTTGCAAAATTATATACTATACAATCTTAATTTAGATATATGTATCTAATACATACAGTATAAAAATTTTGAATATACAGTGAAGTCTGCATAAGTCAACACTCCAAGGGAAAGTGGAAATGTGTAGAGTTATCCGATATGATGACTAAAACAAAGTTGAAAAAAACCACAAAACTACAATTAGGAAAATACAGTAGTGCTGTATAAAGTACATGCAATGTATCTCTCCGACCAGCCATCACTGGCACTAAAGTTGGTGTCTATTCCAAGTACGCATTGCTTTTTGTTTCAGTATCAGTCCTGATGAGAGATCACCAATTTTTGTTGGAAATAATCAGTTTTCTTATGATGTTTGCTCTTAAATATATAAATTTAAGGTTTTATTGTTAATAATGAAAATATTTGAAAGTTTAAATTAACTTTTTAATATATTTTTTCTTGTTTTCTATATTAGAAACTTGAAGAAGCTGATGATGATAGCTATTTAAATTCAGAATGGGCAAATAATAATTCCTTAAAGAAATCTTTTCAAGGATTAAAAAACATCAAATGGAGACCATGAACAAGAGGTTNCTCAGAAATACTGAGAGATGCTAAATATTTTTGTTATACCTTAGTACATGCAAGATGGAGTATCTCTTGCTATCAGATGCTGCATAGTTTCTGAAAGAACATTTCAGCATTAAAGTTTATATTAAAAAGTTAATTTATTTTCTCTTGTTTTCTATATTAGAAACTTGAAGAAGTTGATGATAGCTATTTAAATTCAGAATGGGCAAATAATAATTCCTTAAAGAGGTCTTTTCAAGGATTAAAGACCATCTGTATACAAATGAAGGTCACTTCTCATGTCATCTTTAAAACAAATGGAAAACTAACTTATGCTGTTTAAAATCTTATTCATGAAAATTTAATACTCAAAAATTGATAACTATCTATTTATGATTGTCCATTTTCTTACAGAACCTTGTTTATACAAACAATATAGTTCTCATTGTATAAATATTTAAACAACACAATTTTGCAATTTTGATATCTTTCATATACTATATTTCTTTCCTCTGCTACATGCTCATATGATAACTTAAATGATAAACAAACAAACTAATATTGAAGTTTATATAATTTGAAGCAAATAAAAAGACCGCTTGCTAGATTCATTTTTTTAAATATATTAGTTTGGAAATAGTAAAACTGTTAAAATGTTATTAAAATTTTATAATTAAATAAATAAGAATTGCTGACTTCTAAATTTAAAAACTTTTATTACTTTTCAAATTAATAATGACAACATAAACACAAAATAATTTAAAAGGGTTTAAATTTTCTTTTAGATTTCATTAATTCAATCCTTCTTTTGTCTTCTTCAAATTTTTTTCGTAATTCTTCAATATGTTTCATCTTAGATTCACGAATTTGAAATGTATAAAAATTAAGCAAGTTTTTCTTGGAACGCTTTTTCCGTTCTTTTGCAGTTATTTTCTTCTCATTAACTTCAGTCCTTCTTATCACTGGTTTTTTACTATGTTTTGACACAGTTATCCAACCTTCTTCATCAGCAACACCTTCCATTTCTATTGCTTCTTGCTTTTCTTTTTCAACTTTTTCATCGTATTGTTGCATATAGACATCAATTTCTTTCTGTAATTCTTCAATGTTTGGAATATTATTATTATATTCTGTACACCATTTCTCGATGCCAACTTTCAAACGTCGATCTGATGGGAGACAACAGGGAGAACTTTCTTCTAAGACATGACACTTTTTTAAAGCAGAACTCTTTTTAAACACGATATAAGCAATACAAAATCCTTCAATCGGTTTATCCTTCGGAAAATATTTTGAATCCGGCTTTTCTTCATTGCCGAGAGTCGGTTTTTGATGAATGATAATTCTCTCTATGGAACCGCATTTCGAAAAAATGGATTTTAGACTTTGATGGCCACAGTATGGCGGGACATTAACGACAAATAAAGTTCGATCTGTTGGTTTAGATTCTAATTGCTCTCTCACACGATGCTGTTTGTAAAATAAATAATGAATAGCTACACTCGTTTCATTCACTTTTAAGGGAATCACACTAAATTCACATGTTTTACTCGTGGCAGCCGCCATCTTGTTACAAGTTTTAAGTTGCCAACTCCAAAATTTAATTAATGTTTATTGAATAAAACCATTACGATATTATTTCTAGAATATTTTATTATTTTTAAAAATAATTTAGGATCGATTATTTTACTATTATATTAATTTTGGAAATTTTATAATTTTATTTCTCGTGTCTCTATTTATCTGACATTTGGCTTGTGAATGAGCGATATCCACAGCCGTCGGATATGATAAAATGACTAGATAGTTAACAAAAATGTCAAAATTAATGAGCGCGTTGCCTAATAAATCGGATTTAAAACAACATTATAAGTAATCCTATGACATTGCCCATTTTATTTGAAACGAATGTTTTCTAAACTCCTCGCTCAATGAGCACGAAGAGGACCCCTTTTTTTTCTTTCTTTTGCAAGCCTATTATGGGTTCAGTCAGGCCACAATAGGATGACTGGGTGGTAAAAATCTGGGTCTGATATATTGAAAACAGACAACCCCCGACTCCCCAAAAATTCCTGAGGTTTTTCGACCCGTCGGAATCCTCGCGTTTTTTTATGCAGCGCTCGAGAAGCGCTTTACAGCGAACACACTGAAACTGGTTTCTAATTGGCCAATACTGCTTGTGATGTCATTTCGCTACACTCTCGCTGCATAAAAAAACGCGGGGAATTTGATCCCGGGTCCCCCAGAGCTAGTGTTGCCACCTTTTTAAAATCGGTCATCGGTGACCCGGACGGCAGGTGAGGTTTGTTCGAACAGAAGTTCCTAACGCAATCGTAATGTTATTTTACAATGCGAAGAATAATGTGCAGTGTATGCCGGTTCTAAATCAGTTACAGTTAGGGACTAGGGAGACTTGTGTACGAGTAACGTAAGTAACCTAGATCACTTAGCTCTATTGGAGATGTGTATGAATACGAATCGTACAAGCGTAAAAGAAAAAAGAAGGTTGTGCGCGATATTCCCGGACAAAATTAATAGTTCACCCGGACAGTGAGTCGATTCCTGGACTGTCGGGTGAAAACCGGACGGATGGTAACACTACCCAGAGCAGTAGGCTGCCACCGTAATCGCTTGGCCTTCCGGTCGTCATTTAAAATGGGTTATCCGACTGTTATTGGTTTGCTTGTCCAACTGTGTTAAAACCGCTTTCTCGGACAATGCGCTGAATGTTCATCATAATAAATTCTATGAAATGAAATTTTATTATTTTTTGACTCTGTCCTACAAGAACTTAGGAGCTATTTAATCACACTTGTTATGGGTTCAGCTAAGCCCACAATGGGAACAGCTAGATTCCACACGTGTTGTTAAACAGTCAATAAATAATGTTACAGATTCCAGTAGTGTCATGGCTGTTGGGTGCATCCTATGGCACAGTGTGGAATGTAATGAGAAAGTTGGTGCATTTTTATCCATATAAGTCACAACCAACAGTTGCTTGCCACCAATAGCAAAACCCAACCAACCTTTGCATTTACCTTCCTTCCAAAAATGGAAATGCAGTGTTATAGCAATAGATTATACTCTGGAGTGATGAGGTACATTTTCACCTTACTGGAACAGAGAACACCCATAACTTTTGCATTTCAGTCATGGAAAACTCATATTTTCCAACAGATTCCACTGCATTTGCCTAAAGTCCAGTATGGATTCATAGCTATATTTATCCATGAATCATTGTTTTTAGAAGAAACTAGTCCTAACAGGCATGTGACAGCTCAGAAATACTGAGAGATGCTAAATATTTTTGTTATACCTTAGTACATGCAAGATGGAGTATCTCTTGCTATCAGATGCTGCATAGTTTCTGAAAGAACATTTCAGCAATAACAGAGTGATTAATTGTGCATTTCCTATTGAATGGCCACCTCATTCTCCAGATCTTAATCCATCTGATTTTTGGTTATGGGGACATTTAAAAATCCATGTGTTGTGTATTGAGGGTATGTTGCAAATTTAGAAGCCTTGAAAGACAGTATCACTGCAAGTGAGAAGCATCACACAGAATCAATTACAGTCAGTCATTCACCCGTCCGGTTTTCACCCGGACAGTCCAGGAATCAACTCACTGTCTGGGTGAACTATTAATTTTGTCTGGGAATATCGTGCGCAACCTTTCAACTTTTTTTTTTACTTATAACTTATACAATTTGTATTCGTACACATCTCCAATATCCAATAGAGCTAAGTCATCTGTAGTTGTTTTTTCTTAATTTAGTTACTTACCTTACTCGTACCCAAGTCTCCTTAGTCCCTAACTGTAACTGATTTAGAATAGGCATGCACTGCATGTTATTCTTCGCATTGCAAAATGACATTGTGCATGCGTCAGGAACTCCTGTTCGAACAAACCTCACCTGTCGTTCGGGTCAGCAATTTTGAAAAGGTGGCAACACTAGAACACACTGTTCATTATATTCAGGTTTTACACTTTTAGAACAAGAACCACATTGAGCAGTATTTCCATTATTGATAAGTCTCTGTATAACAGTGGTTGCCATCCAGTGGTCCATGGACCACTGATGGTCCGCAAGAAAATTGTGGTGGTCCATGGAGAAATTTGGACATATGATCAACTCAAGGTTACACGAAATATTACTAAAGAAATGCAAAATGCTTGGTTGCTTTTTCCCTCATTTGGGGGTAATTTTATTCAAATCTAAAACCAAACACAAAATGATGGTTATCAATAAGTGATAATGCCAATAAATTAATAAATAATGTTGTGAGTATAATTGTCATGCTTCATGGAAAAGAGCCAAGAATCCATAAACTTATTTCAAATAAGCAGCAACAAACTTCACACTAATTTGTTATAATTAAACAAGTGAATTTCATATTAATAAAGTGAAACAGAACTTTTGTGATCATTATTCTATACATGTTTGTATTGTTCAAAAAAAATTTCATAACAGTGGTCAGCAGATTCAAAATTGTGAGTTTATTGATCCATGATGTCAGAAAGGTTGGTTACCACTGCTATATAGCATGTACAGTATGTCTTGTTCAAATAAAAATGTGTTGTTGCTTGCAGCATTAACAGTGCCAGAGGCCCAAATGTCACCATATTAGATTTGAACTGCTAAATATTTCTCCAGATAGGTTTGAATAGAGATACTTTAATTATGGTCACCTAATATAAATTTCAAAAGTACAAATTTAGTAATGGAAGTCATGATCATTATTTAATACTTTACAATCAATTATTGTAAAGTATTAAATAATGATCATGACTTCAATGTTTACATTGAAGTCATGATCATTACAATCAATATTTTTACATTAATTAAATACAAAATCAGAAATTATGATTTTCATCTTCAAACAATGAATTTTAAATTAGTGAAAAATATGTAAAACCACCATGATTATATTCATACATTTTATTATAACAAAATAAAAATATATATATATTTTTTCTATAATTTACATATCATTATATAACAACACAGAGCATTGCTAGTATTCTATATACAATCTTAAATAATGAATTGACTGGATTCAGTATTAATTGACATAAGTGACACTTATTTAATATAAAATACTATACAAAAATTTAATGCTTCAAATTTTCAAGCAATAAACTATAAAACTTTATTTTAACTTTAACAAACTACTTTTATTTATATAATTAAAAAATTTTTTTTTATATGATGCTTATAACAAAAGCAGACATGAACAAAATCAGCCAATGCATCTCTTAAAAATTACAGATTTGAATGTAAATTATTATTAATTTGTCACATTATTTTTAAAAAGATGATATAAGTAATTATTAAAAATATAAGTGAAAAATTGTAAATATCAAAACTATATATAAACAATTACAAAAATCTTAAAAAATACTTTAAGTCATGTTTGTATTACTTGTGGAACTATGTGGAAATTCGTAACATTTCTTGTAAATTTTATATTTTATGCATATATGCAGTAATAATCAATAAAGTACTAAAATTAATTTATATGTACTTGGTAATATCTATGTTGTAATTTTAATTATGATATAATAATAATAAATTGAATCAATGGTGCACCCAGAGTGGGCTAAGGGGCCCTGGCCCCTCCAAAGAAAAAAGAACATTAGAAAATTTTCCAAAAATCTTAATGATAGTACTTATTGTCTAAGCGGTAAAATAGTTTTCTTATACTGCATTTAAAATTGCATTCCATGCTCCAAAGGAAAATGTAAATTAAAACTTTATACAGTATTATATGCCTATATTTACTAGATTGAAAAATATGAATAAATTCCTTTTATTTTGCCTCATTGCCTGAGTACTTTTAATGCTAATCTTTCTATATTTTGCTTTCAACTGTTATGGTAACCCTAACTTTAATTAGATAATAGAGTGAAAATGAGCATAGGAAGATACCAAGGAAGAAACTGATCATCATTATATTAACAATATTTTTTGGAGAAAATAAAAGACAAATCAGAAATTGTTTCATAATAAAAGAAATGGGTATTGTTTCACTAAAACTAATAAGCTATATAAAATTTATTATGAAATATAAGCATATACACAGCAATTTAAACAATTATATTATTTTAAAAAATTTTGTCACTTTTCACGAGAATGAACTTTATAAATAAATCAGATTTATATTTAAAGAATTCATAAAACTATATAATTTGTATAGTTATATTTGATATAAATGCTTGTTTCCAATGTTTTGATCAATTGGGTTTTTTCACTGGTCCACATAATGTTCACTAATGAAAATACTTGTTCAGTGGGACCATTAGATTTAGGGTTGAATTTTGATTATGAAAAGCAAATTCAACAATTTTAAAAATGGTTTTAAAAGATACTGCAAAATATTTAAAAATTCAACCCAGGCAGGAATTATTGTTTTTTCGACATTATTAATCTTTCAATGGTGACATAACTACATGAAAATCTGTCAGATAGCTAGCTGTCATTTATATTTAAGTTCCAGTGATTGGAAATGTTTTTTTTCAATCTTCACAAACAAAACATTTTTCTCAATCTTCCAGCCCACAGCAGGGTTCTTGTAATAGAACTCATTCAAATACTGTCATTTCTATGTAGTATGGATGTTGTATAACACGTACAACTACTTTCATTTCCATAAAGTTGTCCCAGCCAGCTATTTAAATAACCAATGCAGTTTTGGTAACATTTATAAATTGCATAAAATAAAGTGGATAAATTAAATATTAGTTCCATGTGCAGGTTTAAATACTCAAGTTACATTTCAGCTCACAAAATAAAGGACAAAATGCATTTTCTAAAAAATAAAAAAATCTAACAGTCAAAGCAGTGAAATGTACATATGGTCACTGTAATCATCATAGATTTCTGATACTTGATTTTTAGTATACATGTATAATTAATGCAATTTAATTCTTGTAATTAATATTCATAAAATTAACACAGTATATGGAGAATTATAATTTCATGTAAATTGTAAGCTTGGACAAATTGTTCAAGTTTCCATAATCCCCTCCCCTTGTCAGACATCTAACAAAACTCAACCCCACTTAAAACCTTTATCACTTTATGAATGATAGATAGCATAAGTAGAAATGAAACATACAAGAAATTTTGAAATAAATATAATAAAATGAATAAAGTGTATAAAATTTAATGAAATGAATGGACGTCCACTGAAGCTCACCCCTTCCCCCTCCAGTGTGGATGTCATTTATGGACAGCCCCCTTGAAAAAAATGGCATTTCTTTCTTTCAAAATCAGTTTAGCAGAACTTCAGATAGCACCCGGAGGTAGTAATACTGTACATAAAACATTCCAAGTTGGTATGACTGACAAGTGAGACAAGTATCTGGCACAGACACTTGTATTACTTGTCAGTCATGGCAATTGGAATGCTTGATGTACAAAAATGGTGGATATGGATGATGTAATAAGTTGATGCATTTCTGACTATTGTCAGAAATGCATCAACTTATTACATCAGCACTGACAGTAGTCAGTGCTCAGAACTGACCATGTACTCTGTAATGCACTCTGTTTAATGTTAAAATGTCCAACACGTGTTTCTCTTTTGCTATTTCAACCAATACTGTATTATTTTGTCTTGTATTTGAATTTGTGTTTGTATTTTTATATGCTATACTTTAGTTATGTACTTAATTCTCCATGCAATTACATGTAATTATTAATCACTCTATTGTATTAATTGCCTCTATGGCATGTGCTTTTAATTGTTATTGTCACTATTATGGTTGTTATTATTATTATTTTAATTCTTTATCTCATGTCATGCTGTACTGTACTGTACATCTAACATAATTTGTAATTGTCTTTTATCTTGGTTATGCTATGCGGTACCAAGAATGTACACATGTATGTTACAATAAATATTGAATTGAATTGATGCATTTTTGTCTCCATTTAAGTTGTAGCTGTCAGAAAAAGGCACTTCAAAAACAGAATACATTAAACAGGGATCCCGAAAGTAGTCAATATTGAGCCAAGGGTCACTAAGACATTTCGGTCCAAAATTAGTCAGGGGATGATTGAAAATGGTTCATTAAAAATTATTAAAACATGCAATAGGTAAATTTGCATGCTGTAAGTAGATATTTTCTATGAAAATAGTGTATGGATCAGTCTTGTATCCAGGAATAAATCATTGGTGACAAGAGAGGCAAACTGATCAAATTGTGACCAATATTTTTTCAGACAATACTAGGTTAATTAGCTACAGTTTAAATGTAAAAAATAAACAACAGTAGCCCAAATTTGTGATGAAAGCAAAAGCATATACAGTTGAACCTGTCTTTATTTTTTCCCCATATTTTCAGCTTAAATTCAATATATTTTCCATGTTTATCTCAAATAATTTTTTCCCAAAACCTCTATCTCAAATTACAGACTGAAGTGTCAATTACAAATTCAAAGCTTGGTGACAGTTTGATAGCATAAATTGCAGTCAAAAAAACATCTCTTGCAATACCTTAACATAGTTGCAATTAATACCCCATTTTTTTTTTTATTGGCTATAAGTTTGGTTTGTGTCTTTTCAATTGAAGAAATTCAGACATCAGAAACTCTTTCTGTTAAGATATGTCAAAAATCTTTTATTAATACCTAGTATAGATATGTACTGTACTTGCTATTATAATAAAATACTGCACTTCCAATCAAACCTATTACTGTGCAGGAACCTCTGTATCTCAAATTTTTTTTTTCTTGTTCCCATGAGTTTCAAGATACACAAGTTCAACTGTATTATATATACATCATATGGACACTGTTGACTAAGCTGAGGGATCTTAGCCATCTAAGTTAGTTCTCTTAGCTATGGGTCTGGTGTGGATAAATACTGGCTCACCAGATTTAATTATTATTAATTGTATTAGCAAAAACAGAAGAGGGGATCAATAAAAGTTCAAGGAATCCTTGAAGGGGATTGACAGTCAAATAAGTTTGGGGACCCATGTTAAAGACACAGATAAGAAAATACTAATAGATTAAAGGAAAAGACATTTGAAACTATGGCCTGAATAAATTAAAAATTTACACAAACAGGTTAGGAACATACTGAATATCATGGTCATCATCCTCTTGGATGGAGATACTTGGAGAAAAATGCATAATTATTTTACATAAGATATTATAATTATATTTAAGTAGAATCTTACTTTCAATACAATTTTAAAATATGAAAAACTAATTAAATTTTAAACATTAGGATATTTACATTAACTATATAGAATATATTTTGTTTTGTCCAATGACAATGAAGAAAAGATTCTAATTAAGCAGAGTTATGAAACACCAAAATAGCAAAATCAAAAATACTTAAACATTTTCATCCATATATAAAATAGACATCAGGTTCCATTAAAAGACTATAGAATTAGAACATTAAGATGAAAACTGGAACAGACTATTTTAATTTAAAAAACAAATATGAAGTGCAAAATGTTTTAATCTAAAAAATGAATATAAAGCACAATAACATACGCATGTGACTATTAGAATGTTACATCCACCGCCAATTAGAAATGTTGAATAATGTCTCCTAACCAGCATGTTTGAGTCTGATTTTAATTAAATTTCAATAAATATTTTACTGTTAAAACTGTACAATTATATACAATTTCATGTTTATTTGAGAACTAAACAGTGAAGCAACTCAAAATACACAAATCTCATATTTGTGGATGTACAACAAAATTTAGTCACAGTTCTTCATATTAGCAATGCATTAGGTTCACAAATCATAATTTTCAGAATCATTTAAAACTGAAATTATTTGAGTTTTCTACATTGACAATGCTAGGGTCATAGGGAGTTCCTTTAAAAGGTGATCCTTCTTTATCCCATGCTTCCTTCAGAATATCATGAACTTTTTGTTGATTTGATGTTGGCTTCCCTAACAGCTTTTGCTGTTGATTATACATTAGTTCATCAATTTTTGCTTGAGCTTCCTGATCTAATTCTTCAAATGGCTGACTATTGTCAATTTTCTGTATATCAATTTTAGGTTCACCTTCTAATAAAGCCTCCCACCACGTTTCTTGAACTTTTTCCAGATTAATAAAAATGTGTTCACTTTTGAATAAAGTCCACATCGATTTTTCAACATTGATTTTAAATGTTAATGTCCCATCTACAACAGTTTCCCAATTATTATTTTTGTAAATACATACTTTTAAACTATTTGGTTTGATGTCTACTTTTACTTGCTTTCCAGATTTGATTGTATCAGGTACATTAATTTTAACGTCTACTTCCTTTAAATTTTGAGACCAAGAATAATTCTCTCTCATTGCACCATTGTAACATTCTGAGAAATTTTGAAAGTTTTCTTGAGACTGTTCTTTAATTGACTGTGATAAATCTGAAGTTTTGATTTTTTGGATATCTTCTTGGATATTTAAATCCTTTGCTTTTTGCTCTATTTCTGGATTCACTTGTGTTTTTACTTCAGTTTTATGAAATTCTTGAAAATTATCGTTTTCTTTAATCTTTTTCTGATATAATTCTTCATTCTTCAGAGCTAACTGATGATATTTTTCGAACGCAGCTAACACCAACTTCTTGGGAATACCAGGAGGAAAACCAAGTTTTTCGGAACTATTATGTTGGATTTTGTAGAAATCAGTCCTTCTGAATAAAAATCCAAATATCACATCTAAAAATTTCATAATTTCGCCTTCGCAGTGAAGAATTCCCATTAATGCGTCTTCGTATTTTAAATGATCCGAATTCATCATCTAATATTCTATAAAACAACTTATTTCGATGAATGAATAATAACATAAAACTCAGTAGTAACTTTGCAAGTACGACAGGCAATTGTATTTTAATTATACGCAATTGAAGTTTTAATTCACAAAAATCTTCATTTACACCTAGGAATTGTTTACTTTACAATAGAAAATTTGCTTTTACGCCCTCTGCTGGGAAATTTTAAACTTTTGATATTTAATCGTGTTGCCACTTCTTTTTTATTAAAAATCTGAATGAATTTTTAAAATATATATACTAATTTACTGTATTTTCTAATTTAAATTTATTCTTGAAAAATTAAATTAAAATACTTGATAATTATTTTATTTTACGTTTAGTTTTCATTACAGATCACAATTCATTGTGATCTATAATGAAAACCGAAATATTGTTTTATTTAAATTGACACTGATACCGATACCAAAACTGTAAATAACGAAAAATTTTGACACCACTATCACAGTTTCTGATGACGAAACGATTACTTGACGTCGCCCGATATCACGACTTTCCATAGCGAAATAATTATGAATGTAAAACGTAGTCATTGAATGAAGGTTTCATACTTTCTTGCATTTCGTGTACATCTAAAATAAAACGGTAATAATTTGAAAACGATCGTTCTACGCATGCTGACGGCAGTTTCTGTACCTGTAATGTTTACAGATATGTTTTTGGAGATATCACTGGTTTTTTTCATTTCGTATTGTAAACAGTTACATTAGTTCATTCGTCTACAATGAATTTACCCGTTGAAGGCCATAAGATGAAAAACGTCGCATATGGATTCTCCATACTGCAGAAATAAATAGGAAGATGAATTTGAAAATAATTCTGTAAATATACAGTATTTCAAATTATTATTCAGAGCAAGTGGTAAGGGTTTAAATTTTCCAATAACACCTTTAAATCTGTGGAAAATACTCTACATTAGATGAATTAAATATTTTCAACAAATTCATCTATATAGCGCATTTGTGAGGTTCTGGAAGTTAAGGCAAATCAGACCCCTCTCCCTAGACACCAGTATGTGTGGCCGGATGGCCGAGCGGTCAAGGTGGCAGCCTACCGCTTCGACTGAAATAATTAAATCCTAAATATGCGGCCGGATGGCCGAGCGGTCAAGGTGGCAGCCTACCGCTCTGGGAAACCTGGGTTTGAATCCGAACGGGTCGAAAAATCCCCAGGAATCTTTCGGGGAGTGGTCCGTTCGGATATGTCGGGCCCCGTCCCTCGCCACCCGGCAGCTCCATTGTGGGCCTGGCCCACAGGGCGGAAAGAGTTAAAAAAAAAAAGACCCCAGTATGTGAGGACTGAGGGTAGTTAATTATTTTCCACCACTTATTCGGCGCAGATCTTGTGGATCTGTCACGAGCCATAAGATGGCTTTAAAAGATGTTTTAGATCAACATCGTAAAATCCCGATCTACAGTCATGATTCCCGACACCAGCCTAAAATTTTAGCGTTAGGCACGTAGTTAAGTACTTAGATCATTCTTTCGAGTGGGAGAGACTGTGGACAAGCGGTAAGACTTCGGTGTGTAATCGAGTTCATCAAAGAAACCATTCCTTTACAGTACAAACGAATTTTAATAAAAATAAAATAAAAGTATAATTATAGTCGAGCCAAAGACTATATTTCTCTATCTATCTCGCGAGTGAATGAGAGAGTTTACATATATTTAGGATATACTATCTCGAGTTGAGTAGCTTGAGTTGTCTCTTATTCGCGTTGAGGCGTTGATCGGCGGTAGGTTGAAGTTGAGGTTTGTTGAAGCCGAAGGTTGTCGATCTTGATGGCGCACAGGTTAAAATCTTTGCTTTATGCGGATGAAAATCTCTAGGAGAACTCCTCGATCGGAGCAAGCTCCATTTTATCCTCGAATTCCAACCAATGGCAGATCTCGATTTCGGACCGTAACTGGATGTACTGGAGAACTGTCGATGGAGTGGACAACCAGATGGTGGTCGAATTTGGAAGTTAAGGGTTATAAGAAGGGAAGTTAATTTCCCTTTTGTCATAAAAATGACAAGGCGTTTCCTTTAGCGAATACAACATGTGCAAGAAATTTACTTCTCAGACTTGTTTATTAATAATTTTGAAAGAAAAAATATTATTTTTTCATGTGGTAAATATTATATCGTCATTTTCTCCATCGGAAGATGAAGGAAATGACGGAAGGACCTTGTTTAATGAGAAATTTCCGATCCAAAACAACACAAAATTTAGATTGATGTATTTAGCTTCATTGTTTAATTTAATCAGTTTAATTGTATAACTCCAATTCTGATTCTCACACATTTATCCATGATCGGATCAAATTGTATCGGGTTTTATGCCAAATGCTAAGGACACAACGAAAGTTATTGATGTACACAGCACTCGATACTATTTGATCAATGAACATTGCTGTGTGATTGCTAGAATTTGTATGCGATGGATAGCAGATCTGACAAGAAAATAATTGCAGGATGTTACATTTAATTTGGTAGTAACATCGAATAATAAGTACAATTTTGTAGAATATGGGCAGAACACGTTATATGCAAATCCTCTAGTTTCTATAGAGACTGTTTATAAATTACGTCCACGTTTTTCTTGAAATTTCCCTCCCTCCCTTGTCCCAGTTTGTCCAAGTTTCCGTAACCTTCTCCCCTTCGGATATCCAACAAAATTGTTCATCATCAGTTAAGGAATTCGGAAGAATGGCTGGAGCATCCGAGGAAGGGTTTAGCGATGGCAGACGGCGAGCAAACGATGACAGGTGGCTGGTCAAAACGAACTTAAGTTGGATCGATGCAGATAGACTGATCCTTTTATCCAAAACTTTATCTTCAGGTCTCTGATCCCATTGATATGCCCTTCGGAACGTGCTCTCGTCCTTGACGGCTGCCCGACAAATGTAAACTAAATTTTAACTAAACAAATGAAATCAAATTTTATTAATAATTTTAAAAAAGGACACGCAAAGATTGATTTTTTAAAACAATTGATCATGACCAAGGAAGAGGGTCGTATGAAATGGATTATGCTCTGCTCTATTTTTTATGCTTCTGAAGATAACGCTTTTATTTTACAATTGAATTATTATGGAAAACACATAACTTACTAGGAAGGTTGCAATCTTATAAGAGGAATTTGGACGTAATAATTTCATCGTTTCTATTTATGGTATATATAGTTGATAAAGTTATAAAAGTTTTAAGGGTGATTGAGTTTTGTTGGATGTCCAAAGCAGGCCTTAATTCTAAGATTTTTTCTTACTGCACAAATATCAGTTTTGTTTGGCCAAGCCAATAAATCCTAGCGTTAATAAGCTGTTCTAAAAGACATAAATGGAAAAAAATGACATTTACACAGTGTAAAGTAAAACCCGTGTAAACCGAAATCACACAGTATTGAATATTTTTTCTGGTTTGTCAGGTTTCCGTTTTGAACAGTTCTTTTTTAAATAGAAAATCGTTCCGTTTAGAGAACTTTTTCCATTTAGGCTGGTTTCCTGTTTCTTTCAGGTTCCGTTTTGGACAGTTTTACCCTACACTGTGTAATTTAGATAAATATTTTAACTTTAACATGATCAGAAAAAAGAAATACTTATAAAACGCGTAATCGGTCAATTAATTACTGTACAATTATGGGATTTCCAGTGCACAATTAAAAATTTCTAGTACACATTTTGTGTCTAGTTGCAAGCTAGAAATAAGCGCTGGTCCGAAGAGGGGTACAGAAAATTGGACAAACTGGGAGATGAGGGAGTAAAAATTTCAAGAAAAATGCAGTAGTAGTTTATGGACGCCCCAAAACTACGTGATTTAATTTCTACCAGTTTCGCTTTAATATTCAATTTGCTTTATTAGTGTTTTTTGTTTAACTTACTTTGTATTATGTTCTCAAAGCTTGCAACTCGAATTTCATTCACTTTTAATTAAGATAAAAGACTGGAAACTTCGAAGACATACCTAAGTCCGATGACAATGCTTTTTAATGATGTTTTAGGAGGTGGCCCACCTCGAAATCCAATAAACATAACCAATTGTAGAGCTTAATAATGATATATGTGTGTAAATAGACTGTAGTGATGTAATGGTGGGGGTGGTGAGTCAACCCCACTATCTCCCACCTCCGTTCTCGAAAAATATGACCAATAAAGCATTCTTTTTTTAATATTTAAAAATATATTAAAATTATCAGCATCAGCTTTTTTAAGTCTATTTTATTCGTTGAGCCTTATTGTTCGAACTTTTAAATTAAAATTCTTTACGGTTTGAATTTCCGAACAGGTCACGAATGTTTAAAATGTACTGTATATCTATATATATAAAATTGCTTGTCCTGACTGACTGACTGGCTCACTGATTCATCATCGCCCAGAGCAAACCGCTGGAACTAAAGAGCAGAAATTTGGTACACAGTTAGGGTTCGTCATGAAAACGCACACTAAGAAGGGATTTTTCTAAATTCCCCCGCGGGGGGGAGAGGGAGAGGATTAAGGCTTATCCGGAAGAACGGCTTCTACTGTACTATTTTAGATGCGATTTTTTGTTTTTTATCTGCGTTTTAGTAGGGTACGCCATGGCAATGCACACTAAGAAGGGATTTTTCTAAATTCCTCCGCGGGGGAAGAGGGAGAGGATTAAGGCTTAACCGGAAGAACGGCTTCTACTGTACTATTTTAGATGCGATTTTTTGTTTTTATCTGCGTTTTAGTAGTGAATGCCATGGCAATGCACACTAAGAAGAGATTTTTAGAAAGTCCCCCGCGGGGGGTGAGGAAGAGCATTAAGTCTTAACCGGAAAAACGGCTTCCACTGTACTATTTTAGATGCGATTTTTTTGTTTTTATCTGTGTTGTAGTAGGGTATGCCATGAGAATGCATACTAAGAAGGGATTTTTTGAAATTTCCCCGCGGGGGGTGAGGGAGAGCATTAAGGCTTAACCGGAAGAACGGCTTCTACTGTACTATTTTAGATGCGATTTTTTGTTTTCAACTACGTTTAGTCTTCATTGAGTACTTAGGTGTATTAAATTGATAACATTTCAGACATTGTTATAAATATTTTTATCTATTTCGATTTTAAAAATGTTCGAACCGTTTTAAATTCGAATTTGTTATTGCATATTGGTTCGATTATAGAACGATTGTAAACGTTCCAGAAAATTGATCAAATTGAAAATAGTTCGTTTGATTCTCGGCAATTCTCTTCAGCGGTAGGTGTTATATAGACCTAACAATTACTATGGTTATTGAAATATTGAATGTAAATGGGGTTTGCTTGCAAAACCTCCGCGGACGAAGTCGCGGGTAACAGCTAGTCGAATAAAAAAGAAATTGCTTAATATCTTATCGTAGTCATATTTTAACAAAAAAAAAAAGAATTGTATCTCAAGGACTAGATAAGTTTGATCGAGTTTAACATATCTGATCGGTTCGATTCTAGAAGTATTAAGCATTTTAAAAAATGTCATACGAATTTAAAGGTAAAAGAGCTTTAGTTACCGGCGGTACAAGGGGTAAGTCTCAATCGACATACTAATTATTAAAAAAGTAATATTTAATTTAGCTCAATAATTACTATGAAATAAAGTCTACAAACTAAAGTTTATTACTAGATTGGAAATATAAAAAAGTTCTTAACTCGCTTCTAACTGATCATAGGTCTAAATGTTTACGCCCACTAATTGTCAAGTGGATGAAAACCACTGAACGTGGTCTTTATAATAATGTTATCACCATGATATACAATGAAAAAAAAATGTCATACAGTGTAATTAAATGTCAAGAAAATTCTGCTGTTGCTTTATTTTAACGCTAAAATATTTTAAAAAATTAATGTTAATTTAAAATATATTTAACATTAAGAAGGAATTTTTGTGCCACAAGCCAACGTTTAATTAATGAAAAGTAGACAAATTTTGTATTAGTATTTTAACACAAATTTTTAGCAAAGTTTCTTCGAATATTCTGAAATAGGCACTAGATCCTGATGAAGTTCGAATAAACGAACGAGTGTAAAATGTTAGCGGTTCTTTTAGATTCTAATTTTAGTTTAGATTCTACGGACCATAAGTTATGTAGGCCTAATTTTTTAAAATCTATATGGGTGTTACCAACATTTGGGACATACTATGCCATTTATAACAATAAATCTAAAAGCATGTTTTGAATACATATGGAAGTATAATTAATTAAAAGTGAATCGTCATTGAACAAAGTTTTACTCTTTATTAATTTAATTCTGCCTGCGGACCACGGGTGGAGAAACACTGCGCTAGAATAATGGGTTGTATCAGCGCTATAACAGGTCTGCAGTTATATAATTGTTCGTGGTATGACGTAGGAATGGGGAACTTTCATCACACACTAATGCTTGTTAGCAAAGAATCACATCGCAGTTGTACTGTTTTCAGTTTAATTAATAATTAACAGAATAACGAAAAAAGTTTGATATTATTCTTAAATTTATAAGCAAGAAGCAATAATAAATTTAAGAATAGTATCAAACCTTTTCAAGGAACTTAAAAAATATTATTAAAAGCGAACAATAAGAATAATAACGCCTCGATAAGAATGACGTCGATAATTATCAATGCACTTTTACGATTACCGATGTCTTTGCAAATATTTTTACTCCGAATAAAAATTGTCCATGTTAAATATTTGTACGTTAACATGACGAAACTAGTATCAGAATACTGTGTTATCATTCATGACACTGGCTTTTTGAAAACATTTTCATAATTATATGTTACATATCAGTTCTTTATCTATTATAATATACCCTGAATACAGTAAATAAAACAATTATATGAGGTAGCATTTCTATTTTGTAATTTAATCTTTACAGATTAGCTGATTGTCTATATACAGTGTACTGTACCTAGCATTTTAAAGCCCGGGCCAAACAAATAATTTAATCTTTACAGATTAAATTACAAAATAAACAGCATATTGATATAAATTTTTATTCGGTGCAACAATATATTTAATCATTTAATCAAGAATATGGTTGAATATTCAATATTTTTGCAACGTTCACAACTATTTGCAAAGTTCGCGAATTTTCCGGACAGACCTTGTATACAGAATAAAACTTAAGACAAATAAGACTATATTGCGATTAAGATTTTATAAGATTAAAAAAATAAAATAAATAAATGATTTAATATATTATTTAAAATTATAATATGCTGTTTTTATTATATTATTATAGTTAAACTAATTTTACCGTATAGAAATTTATATTAGAATATTATAATAAATACAGATTATTTTAAAATATTAATAATTATTTTCAGGAATTGGAAAGGAAATAGTAAAGCAATTAACAAAATGCGGTGCACAAGTATACGCTTTGGGTAAAGTTAAAAAGAATTTGGATGTTTTGAAAGTTGAAGTCAGTAAAATTTTGTTTTATATACGATATACCAGTATAATCTTACTAAATTTTAGTATTTTCGCATAAATTTATATCTATACTAATAATATAAAGAGGTAATGTTTGTATGTATGTATGTATATATGTAAGTTTGTTTGCAGCAGGTAATCTCCGAAACTACTCATCCGATTTCAAAAATTCTTTCACCAATATTTAGAATGGAACTTCAGGGTGGACACAGGCTGTATATTATTCCGTTAAACATTCATATAAATTAAATTAAAAGATATAATCTAGGTTAAGGCTTTTATGACGCTACGAGTACGACGCCCTAAGTTTGATTTTCTGTGAGGCATTATGTTTTTCTGTGAAAATAAACTAAAGCAGATCATCTTCTATCTATTTATATAAATAAAAATGTAATGTTCGTTAGTTCCTACCGATTCCTTTGAAATTTTGACACAACGCTGCATTCGAATACGCACGTGTTTTTATATAATATACATGTCGAAATTCAACCCCACTGAAGGGAGATTGTTAGGATTAAGGCTTACGGTAAAGAACTCTGCTTCTATTTATACTATTTTAGATGCGGGTTTTTGCGTTTTTGGTTGCGTTTTAATAGGGTACGTCAACAGAATGTACACTAAGAAGAAATTTTTCGATATTCTCCCCGCGGGGGAGAGAGACAGGATTAAGGCTTACCGTGAAGAACTTGGCTTCTATTATACTATTTTAGATGCGGGTTTTTGCGTTTTTGATTGCGTTTTAATAGGGTACGTCAACAGAATGTACACTAAGAAGAAATTTTTCGAAAAATTTCTCCCCACGGGGGAAGTGTTATAAATTTATAATAGATACATTTTGAGCCACAACAACGCGTGGCGGTGTCTGCTAGTATATTATATATATATAAATGTATTATGAATGAAACTTTTTTCACCACTTGCTGCAGTTGTTTTGTATGAATAGAGTTTTTTAGCTGTTTCTCCTGGTTGTTTCAGTTATGTTATTCTGTTTCCTACAAGGTTACTAGCTTAGGTTCTGTATTAATTTTATCATTAGATTTAAGCCTTCACTCTAAGCCTTAATTCTTCATCTTCTTTTCTTCGATGGTGTTTATATGGAGATTTTAGCTCAATGTAGGCTCTTTCTCCGAGTAGACTTGTGTATATGTATGATCGCTAGGCGACCGATTAGCCGGCTGTATCGAACAACCATACGTACGCGCGGGAAATAAATGCCTTCCGGGAGGACTTTTTATGGGGAACTGGCCTCCTATTCAGTCGTTATAGGCAAGGAGAAAACCCGGAAAACTCCAAGCAGCCAGCCTGTCCGACCGTGGCGCGAACCCACGACGAACCTCCCAGTCTTTAGGGTCTGGTCACCACTACGATGAGCGGCAACGGAGACCACTCGCCCACTGGTGGGGGCTAAGCCTTAATTATTACTCTGTCTAGCTTTTATGTAGCTGCATTACTTATTGGTGTAAGCTACAACTCAGGTTGTCTTTTAGATGCACGGCCTCACAGCCTGAAAACTGCACGCCAACATTAAACGTAGAGGGAATAGTAACCTTACGTACGCCTTTCAGAGGGATCCTTCCTTTCTCTTCTTTCTACCTCCTCATTTTCCTTCTCTCCTTCTCCTCTTTCCCCTCCCCCTTCTTCCTCCGGCTAAACACTTAGTGTATGGCCGTTGTCTTTTTTTATATATTATTTGTATGAGTAGAGTAAACATCATCTCCTCCATAATCTAACGACTACGTCATTGTAAATAACAGAAGGAGTATTATTTTATTGTTTTATATTACCTTTATTGTAAAGGCTAGATTTAGTTAGCGTAAGTGGTCAAGAAGTCGCATTTGCTATACTTCTATAAAAAAAAAAGTGCAAGTGCCGAGAAAAAGCTTTATTTATAACTGATGTTTATATAAAAATTAATCCCCATAAACTTTATCCACGTATTATCCGTACTATTATATTTTGGCATCCGAGGAAAGCATTGACCTTTTATTAATGGACAACCAGAAGTTTGATGGTGACAAATCTGGGATTTAAGGAGGGTGCCAAATAACCCTGCAACTTCCGGATTTTATGCGTCTTCGTTATTTCCTTACTGTAATACAGTCTTGCATTATAATGGTACATGAAAAAAACTGTTTTTTTTTTCTGGTCACTTTCGAGTACTTCTCTTGAGCGCTTGTAAAGTTTACAATACGTTTCTGAATTGATCATTTCTTCCTTTAAGCTCATCTGTTATAATGCTAATGCTAAAAATTCAAACGCGGATCATTTCATACTACGAAATGAGGAAGATGAGTTCATGTTTAAGCTTAATTGTTACGAAATGATAGATTCAAAGAACTGAGACTTCTCAATACCGATTAGACTAGAATGTGACCAACATTATTTAGTAGACATTAGGGCAGATGCAGAAAAAAGGATGCAGCTGTCCCCTTTTTTCTGTGGGTTTTTTTCCGAGTAAAGCCTGGTACCTCAGGTAGTAAAAAGTTTTGTAATGTATATTGTTTACTTTCTGCATCACCCTTAAAAGATTTTTGGATCCGTTATTATAACTCGTGGCTAATAAATAGTGATCACGTTTCTATCCTCATACTTCGCGGAATGCTGCGGTAGAAGCCCTCATTTATCAATCAACATTCATAATTCTTTTTAATAATTAATTTAAACATTAAAATAGTGTGGTTTAGATTACGGAATGATCTCAGATTTGTACTATAACCGCTTACAATTGAGAACTTGTGGACAATCATTGCATTTCAGCCAAACTAGGTATTTGGCTGAAATGCATATTGTGAAAAAGAAATATATTATTGAATAAAACATCTTTCTAAATGCAATAATTGTCCACAAGGTCTCAATTGTATGTGGTTATAGTACAAATTTGAGATCATTCGGTAATCTCAACCACACTATTTTAATGTTTATGTTAATTATAAAAAAAACCACCCTTTGTTTCACAGTAATTGTTATTGGTAACTATCACTCAAATATAATTCTTTAAAAAGTACTTTTTCATAATTAACTATATTTACCATACACTTATGTCACTTGTTTAAAAATTAAATTGTATTGCTTTCTCACCTAAGTACATAAATTTTACTACTCAGAACATTTGAATTTGATACGTTATTTTCTCGGTTGTTGGCGTCGAAAAACTAGTTTATTAAGAATGTTTATCTATTTTATTCTAAGAATAATTTCTTTTTGACCTCCACTATTAACATGGAATAACTTAGCTGATTTTACTTACATTTGTTGTTTTTGAAATAAATTCTAATTTTAAAGAAATTATTCTTAAATATTCATTGTATATATTGTTTGTTACTTACTGAAATTTTGAGGTATACATTGGCGTTTTCTCTATTTAAAACAGATCCCTTCTGTTGAAATTATATGCGTGGATCTTTCTGATTGGAAGAAAACTGAAGAGGTTGTAAGCAAAATTGGGACTATTGATTTTCTTGTAAATAATGCTGGAATTGTAGACACGATTCCATTTGGAGAAATAACTGAAGAAAGTTTTGATAAGTATGAATATAATTACTTTATATATTATTATGTACAGTACATTATAATAAATTGCTTTATATTAAAAATATAAATACAAACACATATTTTATGCATCGGGTTTTCCTTCAAGGAAAGGTTTACCAATAGCCGAGTGGATACAACCACTGAATACCGTTAGTTAGTCGCGGATTTAAGCCTCACCAATGCTAGCTGAATGGAGTTTTCAGTTTTCTTCACATGTCTAACACCTAAATAGGGAACCGCATAGAAAGTCTCCCGAGAGGCAATCGCATTGGTAGAGCGCCCAAGTGTTGCGTTATCTTTTTCTATCAATCCAATCCTTTACAGAAAGAAATCACAGTCAAATAATAAAAAATAAGTTATTTCAAAATAATTTTTATTGACATCATGAATTATCTTAATTGAGATAGTATTTTTATCGATATATATTTATTTCACGAGGACTTTGAGATACATTTTGAGTCTCTTCAACATCTGTCCTATCTGAATTGCCTAAATTATTTTCTTTTTTCGTTTAAAATTATATATAGTCTACTATTTACTCAGTTGTTTTTAATGCTATATTTTACAAATCATACGTTCGTACGTCTATCATTAGATTGATCTAAATGCAGTACAGTCGACCCCCTCTAACACGGTAGATACGTTCCGGTTTTTATGAAATCCATTTTCTATGAGTCCTTAAATACATGAGCCAATCACAGCCCTGCACGTATGCAGTTTACAGACTACGGCTGTTTGAAAGGTTTTCTTCCATAAAATTAATCGATTCTAGACTAATTTGACTCAACATTTCCAAAATACGTATAATTTTTTGGGAATAATTCATATAAACTATGCTATAAACAAAAAATTGTAGGATTACTTACCGAGTGTGCACCGTTCGACGACGCCATTGCTGAAGTTTTCGTCGTTGAGCGGTGCATCGAATGGCGCTCGCGCGCTTCCTGATAAATTACTTTTCTGCAAAAACTTTGCTGAACTTTGGAGACATCATTAATATAAATATAATTTTTATGAACTTTAAATAAATGGTTTTTACTAAGTTCGCTGCTCGTTTAAACTCAACGGTTTGTGCAATATCCGCTATTGGTCTAGATTCGACCAATCCTGTCGCGACACGAACCGGTGATGACATTTTACCGAATTACACGAGTCTCTTTTAGCGTGTTTATATGAATACAGTCGCAATTTTTTCGCCGTCATATAGGAATCCGAACTATATGAACCCCTTTTATAGGGGGGTCTACTGTATATTTACTAGACTAATTTGCAAATGTAGAAATTGTTATGACTAAATTCAAAACATCCACTCAAAATTTTAATTTAAACATGGTCAACAAAAGCAAAATTAATTAATGTTTATTTACAATGCAAAAAATATTGCATTTGGCAAGATATAACAAATACTAAATTCGCGTTATATGTTGCATGTCAAACGCGGCCCTTGATCCGTGGATTGCTAATGACTGCTCTTATACGAACGCTCATTATACGGATTATAACTAATCCAAATTTATTCGAATACGATAATCCCATAAATAAACTTACCGTCTTTTGTGAGAGGCATCCCCCTCCACAGATCAACCATGTGTCGCATTGCCGTATTGGAATAAACTAATCGAACAGGAAGAATTTGTATTCTAAATTTTTCTAAATGCTTGATTTAGATTTAAGGATTTACAGTCCTTAAAGATTCCCATGCGCTCGGATTAGTTCTCAACTCGTGCGAACAGATGTTCGATTGTTTGGACAAGTTCGTAGAAACAGGTGCCACATACATTTGGTTGTTTCTTCAACTTTTTGCTTTGTTTTTCCTATATTTCCTTCATCTTGTCTAAAAAAACACGAATAAAGCTGGAAACAAACCCAAAATGGAAAGAAGTAGGATGACTAATACTGCTTTTAGTATCTTTTTAGAGCATTAGAACGAAACAAAAATAATTTGCATAAAGGTGAAGTTTTAAAATCTAATATTTTATATTATAAGATTTAAAATGTTTAGTATAATACTTTACGAATTTGAGAAAGTTTAACTTCAAAAAGACATCCTCATTATTATAAATACGTTGCAAAGAGCATTATATTGATAGTATCGCTTTAGTAAGGCTTTTAGTTACTGTATGAAGAACTTGATGTAAGTGGAGGATTCATCGTAAATTTTCGTATTAAAAATAAAAAAGGAAAAAACAAATGTTAGAATCGCAATTTCAATTGTACTCATTTACATGTTCTTCAAAAAGAATGTAGATTCGCCTTTATATAGTAGAATTGGATATGATCCAACCGTTTTCTTTTTCCGAACTCGGTGAAGAATGTAAATAATAGAGAGTTCAGATGTACTGTATTTATTGAATTTTGAGATTAAGCTATTAAAAAAAATCAATTATTTTTAAAAGATACAATATAACTTATCTAATAATCATAAATTTAACCATATATTACATAAAAACATAATATTATATACAATTGTTTGTTTTGCAGTTTATATTCTGTTAATGTGAAGCCAATTATTAACATATCACAGGTGAGAATAATATTTAAATTCGTTTATTACCGGTATAACTTAATGGTATCCTGACAGCGGATGCAATCCGCCATCAGGCCACCACCACTCTTCGTTACCCGACTTCCTTCATTGTAAACCTTGCCTAACTCACGATGAATATGATTAAAAGACCGCTTCAGCGCACAAAGGGCGGAACGAGCGAAAAAATATTTTTAAATTTAGGATAAATCGTACAATGCCGACCATGAAGCTATAACAACTGGAGCGGCAGCTCTCTGTTGTCACTAGCGGCATCTTAAAGTCGGAAGTGGCTCCACTGTAGACCAAACCGCCATATTGTGAGTGGAAGAAAGCTCGTTTTGCTTTTGAAATTAACGTTGGAAAAGAGAAGGTAAAATAAAGAACAATATAAACTTGCTATATTTTCGAGTATAGCACTCGGTTTATTTATCTGCCATTCTAACCAGGACTCTCCTAGGAGTATTTTTTTGATGATCTATCTGATTTTTCAACCCGAACGTTTCTATATTATGCGGACGTTGAGTTACGCATTATTAAAAATCAAAAGATTTTTTCATCTGATGTGGTTCAGTTTCTGCACTGTGTGCAGGCTTTCCTGGAAGTTCGTTTCTGTTGAAAACTGCTGCACACGACGCAGCGGTATTGCGTCTTGTCTGGTAGCTTTCTTTGGTCTACTGCTCCTCGAGGATCTGGGGGGGCATACAGCTTCCCTCTGTTTATTCCTCCACTCCTTCCTCCATTCACCAGCCAGGCTCTCTATTACAGCCATGTCAAAATTTAAATGAGACATAGGGCTAGTACACATTAGGCGTTGGGCGTTGCGTTAAACGCACGTTAGCAGCGTACACACCGCGCGTTTAGCTCGACGTTCGACAACGACGTGGCTCAGTTTGGAAATGGACTTTGATAAAAGTAATTGCTTGTGTGTGGCTCCTCTATCGTCGCTGTAAAAGACGATAGCAGAGGCAAAAAGAATTTTGGGTGCACCCAATATTACGAGATAGACTGACGCATGGAATGTTTGTGACGTATCCAAAACTAAGACAATATGAACCCGAGTTTTTTAGTTATTTTAGAATGTCTATAAAATCATTTGACGATGACTGGTCTCTTTTAGATTTCATCAATAAATAGATTAGTATCGAAATGATCGTTCTCCATTTCGGCCAACGTACGTTCACTCTACCCGAAAGCACGCGATCAAATGTACAACAAAATACCAGCACATGTATCTCAAAGCGCGCGGCTGACGCCCGCGAAACGCGCGTTCTAACCAAAATCTATCAACGCGCGTTTGACGCGCGCTTGGCCATAAGCGTGCCTTTGAGTGTGTATATCTATGTGGAACTCTTGGTTCTTTAAAACGCGCGTTTCAAAACGCCTAATGTGTACACAGCAATAATTTTGACTCGGACTCAGGAATTCTTCATGTAAGAATAGGCGATTAACAACATTCTGGCCTTGATGTTGAACGCTACTTTCTTCCAATATTTTACAGTTCTACTTTCATCCAAATGCGCACACATCATCATGTCGGATACATCAGCTCCCCCATAAATTTGTTATAGGATGTAACTATTTGTGGCTATAATGTCACAAATAGTTACATCCTATAACAAAATTAATTTTCGACATCGGGTGTCCTGCATGGCATCTTGAGCATACAAAAAAGTTATAGATCAGAATAATTCATTAACGAATTTACACTCGTTCCAAAAAGAAAAATTAATTACTAATTAATGAAACCACTATTAAAATCCGAACGATCTTCCTCACTTTGCGTTCTTTCAGCTGAAATAAAATAGAAAAAAGAAATGTAGGATCGGCGGCAGGTAGCCTCTTATCAGCAATTAATAAAATAATAGTAAAAATGCACGAAAAAAATTTTTCCGAGAAAAATGGATAATTTTTTTTTTTAATTTTTTGCATTGCAAAAATTCCAAGATGGATTCGGCAATTTTTCTACGACAGAGGTGCACGTTTCGAACGTATTAAAGTGAGGAAAAAATTTTACACCCAACTTGTTTCAGTATGAGGACAATACACTAGTAAGATTGCCTCGGCGTTTTTCTGCCCTGTATTTAATGATCATCAATAGGAGGTTCTTGCTTCAGGACACACACACATATGCGCTATCCTGAGACTTTCTGCAACTTTTTGCATCGCCACCATTCGCTTCCGTACGAACCTTCGTGCAAAGTATTGGTTCCGTGCTCAATGACATCACTGGGAGTACACCGAAAGTGGATTATACATCTCTGCACTTGGCATGTGGACACTTTTGATCTGTTTTTTTCGTTGCTTATTGGCTAGAATGGACAGTATTGCGTGAAAACTTTATCACAACTTTGACTTCTTTATTTGGGTACCGTGCAGAATTCCAGATGTTTGGAAGTATATCAGTGGAATGAACAATTAAGGCCACGGACCTCGACATATTGCATTTCTACGTCACGCAATTATTTACGCCGATCGGCGTATTAAACGAGGCCTTGATGAGAACTGCACATGTGGTCTCTCCCACTTTTGACTTGAACGATGACTCCGCTGCTGGAAGACTGTAAGAGCCGCCTCTAACTAGCTCTTTGCGAGAGCAAAACGCTACCAAACGTGCGCTAGCACAACCGATGATGTCAAAGGCTCCGCCCCTTTCTTCTTGCCCGCGCGGTTTTTCCTTTGCTAGCGCAGCGATACGAGAGTACGCTCGCTGTTCACAGAATTCAACAGCTAGAACAGTCACGTTAGCAAGAGAGAGCGGGAAGACGGGTGAATACATTAACATATCACATGTCGATAAAGAAATAATAGAATTTATCGATGTACTGTTTCAAAGTTCGAAAACTGATTGATTACAAGTATAAGATATAATATAATCTTGTTCTATAGCCAATCCACGTCATGTGGATTACGTTACGCGAGAAAATGTGTAGTTTGCTGCTGCTTGTTGCTCGCGTAGCTTACCTAGCAAAAATGGCTCATAGCCTCATGGGAAGAAAGGCGGGCTTGGGAGCGCGACCGAGCGTATGCTAGCTCAAACATCCTGTAGTTTGCGGCGGCTCTAAAGGAGAATTATTCGAAGAAAAATCGCTAAGACTAGTCGATTTCCGACTTTTCTTTCCTGAGAATCAGAAGATACAACTCTACGTCGTTAGCACCTGTCACGTGGCCTGCCTTGTACCACAATCGACGAACAGGCCAGAATTGAAGTTTGGCTATATGCTGTTTAAATGGAGAATTCTGTTTTCTACATTTTCCTGTATATTATGTTTATATTCTTAAAAATTTTCTCGAATTATAACACACTAGCAGATAAGCCCGGCGTTGCCCGGGCAAAAATTAAGTATAAACATTGAGATTATTAGATTATTTCGTACTTCTAACCATTCTATTATATATTCAGTCACTGTATCACTTTGACTACTCACACTTCACTGTTTGTTTTTATTCACTCACTGCACTACTTTCGAATTTTCACTTCTTTTTCGGTTTTTCCCTTCGTCACTGATAAGAAACTGACGTTCGAACCCACGACGGATCTTGCTTTATATACCCCCACCAATGGGTAATTCCACCCATACAAAAAAGGCTTAGAATGGTCCACAATATTACAGAACATTCCTTTAGCATAGCGAATTTTTTGAATGTAATTGAATTTAATTAATTTAATCTAAACAATGTACTATTTGATAGTTTACTATTTATTCTTTTTTATATATAAGTATTTTTATATCACATTTATCGTAAATTATTATCATTTGAAGTTTAATTTCATGTTTTTAAATATAGAGATAATGTTAACTAAAGTAAATTTCATTATCGCAAGAGAATTGTTTTTTGTGTGCTTGAGGTGCTTGTTGAAATTGAATTTTTTATTTAATTTATTACAAACAAATGAAAATTTTCTGGAAATTACATTACAGAAATTTTTTATTGTATTCTTTAATATTGTTATAAAAAGAATATAGTATTAAATTGGCAATGAAATAAGAAACTGAAAAGTATTTGTAAGAACTTTTGAATATTTGAAGTTATTAATTTTTAGGTTGTTGTAAAGAAGTTAAAACAGGAGAAGAAACCAGGTGCTATTGTTAATATATCAAGTGTGTCATCATTGATTCATTTGGGAAGCATTATCTACAGTTCAGGGAAAGCTGAGATAGACAAAATTACAAAGTCAATGGCTGTCGAATTAGGGCCTCATAAGGTGAAAATAAAATTTATGTTTTATATTATATAATTTCCGATTATAAATATTCTGCTTTTTTCTTCTAGATTCGAATAAATAGTGTTAATCCTGGTGTTGTATATACAGAGATGTCAAAGAGCTATTTAGATGATCCTAAAACATCATCTATGTTGAAATCATTCGTTCCATTACAAGAATTTTGCAGTAAGTAAAATTATTTGGAAAATTCTTCACGAGAATTAATTTAAATTGTATTAAAACATAAAATTCTGAAACTCGAATTCGTTAATTTTCTACGATTTTAAAAGTTCATAAAAAATTAGCGAATTTGATTTTCAAAAATCTGAACCGCGTGTTAATAGAAGAATTAAATGTGATTCTAACGCAAAAAAAAAAAAACCTGTTTGGTTCTATCTGTTTCCCTTTTCGAGAATTTTTGGAAAATGATTTTCCTACGTAAAAAACATTACATTTTTAGCATTATCTTCTGAAGATCGCGTGCATAATAAAAAAAAGGACACAATCAACCTTAATGAATATATGTGTTACAGTCAAAACCCGTTTTTAGTTAGAACGCGTTTTAACTAGTTGAAACTAGTTTATACTAAATGTCTTTGTTAAAACCCGTTTTGTCTAGTTGAAACTAGTTTATACTGAATGTTTTTGTTACAACCCGTTTTGTCTAGCTAAAACTAGTTTTAACTCAAATTCATTTTTGACTAGCAGTAAAATCTAGTTTTAACTAGACAAAACGGGTTTTGTCTAGTTAATTTACTGCTGTACATGTTTTGATTTTAGATAAAACTAGTTTTAACTTTTAACATTAGTTAAAACTAATTTTAGCTACATAAATATGTTTGGGGGAAATAAATAAAGTTATGTATAGTGATTCGGCGGAAGATGCCTAACATTTTGCTTATGAAGGAAATTACAGCGCTAATTTGGGTTTAGGAGCCCTCTAATGAAAATATCATATTCTGGAGTATGTTTTTCAAATAAAACTTTGGAGTTTATTTTAAAAAATTGTATACTGTGTTTGCAATGACGACTTTTTCACTGTCTGGCATTTTAGGCATCTCACCCCAAGTATCCGGGTGAGATGCCAAATGCCATTAGGGTAAGATAACAAATATAATTGCATAAAATTAATTTTTGAATTTCTTAACCAAATTTAATTTATTGCATATGTAGTACAAAGTACTTCATAGTAAGTATAACAGCACAGTATAAGTATTGTTAAGTTTCCGCCCGTTCTAACGTGTTCTATAGCTAGCTGAAAGCTTTTTTCAGTCCAAAAACTTTTTTGAGAAGTCCTTATATAATTTCTATGCATATCCTGCAATAAAACGAGAAAACAAAAGTTTATTAAAAATAGGCATATTGGAAATCAATTAACAAAAAATAGGCACGTTACCCCAAGAAAAATGTGGCATATTTTCCATTTGTTGGGGTAAGATGCCTAGTAGAGTCACATGCTCCAGCATGTCCGATCGGGATCGGCGGTAGCTGACAATGGAAACTTTAGAACCTTAACTACATCACACATTAATTGTTTTTAGCAATTTTTAATAAATTCCATTTTAACTTTTAGTTTAAAATTATTCTAGAAACATTTCACAACAAAAACTTCGTTCTTATCTAGCTTTTATTCTTCTCGGATGTAGAAAATGAAGTAACGGTAGCCAACTACAGCTTTCCGCACTCAATATTGGCCCAACGATTCATCATACAAATACATGACAATATGTGACGTCACCGTTTGAAAATATCAAAAATTAGGCATCTTCCCCCGCTTACCATCTTACCCCGAATCACTCTATGCGTTGCAGTCAAACCAGTTTTTAGTTAGGATGCGTTTTAACTAGTTAAAACTAGTTTATACTGGATGTCTTTGTTAAAACCCGTTTTGTCTAGTTAAAACTAGAATTTACTGCTAGTCAAAAATGAATTTGAGTTAAAACTAGTTTTAACTAGACAAAACGGGTTTTAACAAAGACATTCAGTATAAACTAGTTTCAACTAGACAAAACGGGTTTTAACAAAGACATTTAGTATAAACTAGTTTCAACTAGACAAAACGGGTTTTAACAAAGACATTCAGTATAAACTAGTTTCAACTAGTTAAAACGCGTTCTAACTAAAAACGGGTTTTGACTGTAACATATATAAATTTTAACGTAGGTACGTAGTCTTCTCGGGTACTGGTGACTGTTTTTTCACACACACACACAAACAAACAAGATCAATAAGTTGACTTTGAGGTGCTGTTTCATGTAGAGAAATTTTTCATTCTGTATTTGCTTTAAAAATTTATTATTTTATTTTATTTTACTCAAAATTAAAATCGTCTATTCTTTCACTGATACTCGGTATGTTTATCGTGTCTTAAATTTATCGAAATAAAATAAACTATTATTTTTTCAGATACCGAAGACATAGCATACGTTGTGTTGTTTCTATTAAGCGATAAAGCAAGGATGATTAATGGAATAACTCTTCCTATTGATGGAGGCCAATCTGCTAGATAAAGATGTACAGCTTTTATAAACAAACAATTAAAATTCAATTGTATCGATACTAATATAAATTGTAAATTTTTCGTTTGTATCTTAAGCGTTAATTAAACGACTTTTTGCATTGTTTTAACACTGGTAAATGTAAAAAGTACTTACGCTTATCTATTTAGATAGTATAATAAAATTAAGAATCACTTTTTTTGAACTTCACTATTTTAATGTTTTAGAATCTGTAATAAAAAAAGTATGTATTAGTAAAATAAACGCATGATCTCACTGATCGTATTTTAATTGAATAAAATAGTCGACTTCCACGGATTCCTGTTTGTAGTTAATGAATTAAACGAAAAGAATTAAGAAATTGCTTCGTCTGAACGAAATTTCTTAATTTGCAATCCACTGTGTTTTTTTCTTAAACTCTCTTAACTCTGAGTTCATTTGACACCGTAAGTTGTATCATATTTTCGGGTAATTTCCGCCACGGAAATGTTTACTCATTCCTCTATTCTTTAAAGGCCTTAGCAGTTTTTGTCCTTCTTATAGTACTCTTACAACGAAAAATTTCAAATTTCCGGAAACAATTAATATTGTTGAATTAAGTAAAGTATCCTCTGTACTACAGTGATCTTTGCTTTCACTCGACATTTTAATACACACTCCGAGTTAAATTCTATTTAGAACGCGAAAATCTATTTGAACAAATAGAACTAGAAAAGTGTACACCAGCATTATACGTATTGTTTACATGCCAACCTAGCTAGACCGCAACCATTCTAGCGAGAGCTGCGATAATCTCGCTAGAGCAGTTTGACTAACGCCCACACTATGTACAGTACAGAGCTCTAGCGAGAGCAAATCAGCTGAAGATTATAGTGTACACAGTATATAGCTTAATAATGCATTAAACTGTACATATCCATCCCCAAAATTACGTAATGCATATCATAGATCGACCCCATTAATTGTACAGTACTAAGGAATAATACACTACACAGAGTACTGTATACAACGTTATTTTATCAATTAAGTACAAAGCAGTGACATAAACAATACGGTTTTCTATGCAACCTCTTCGGAACACGAAAATGAGTCATTCTGTTACTGACGGATTGAAATGCTAGCATTACGTAACATTTTTATAAATACCTCCACCCCCTTGTAAGGCGTTGTAACGATTATCTGCATATCCACCCACTCATATCTGCGTTACGTAATTTATGGACAGGCCTAGGTTTATAAAACAAAGAATAATTAAAAACTGTGTTGATTGGCTATGCACGAGACGGATACTTGGGAAAAAAAATTATATAATACAATAGGTGAGAGATAATAATGGCGGTATTTTTGGTTTGCTGAAGTGCAGAGTTAAGCATGTATGATTGGCAGAATATAGATAACAATACTGTACAATAGATGAAACTGGTTCTGATTGGCTGTGTGACATTTTTCTATGCTTATTACTTTATATAAGTTATAAATAGATAGATATGTGAAGTAAATATCTATCTATAGGCCTTTATAGTTAGTCGATTAATACATCAGCTTTCAATTAAATACAGACGAATGTATGTAAATAGTGTATACGTAATATATATGTGAAATTAGCAAATTGTGCAGATACGAGTGTAAATCCTCTTGGCCAGTTTGATATTCATGCAAAGTTGTAAGCATTTTAACTTTTTGGATAAGTTGAATATAAGGGTTAAAATGTTGAATTTGTCATATTTAATTTAATTTTAAGCAAATAACGAGCAATTATTTATTGTGACATCGTCACAATGACGGGCTGCAATTTTTAATCATATTTTGAATTGATTTAATTTAAAATATATCTTATATTAAATTAGTAATGTTGTGTCTTGTTCCTGTACATCATACCTTTCTACTATCAATGGAGTCGTGCTAATCATCTATTAACTGCTTTCAGGGGAAGTTTTGAATTGAAACAATGTCACTTTCGGTTTGCATTGGAAATTAATATATAGTTAATTCGGGCCTTCTGCCCCTAAGGTTTCCATATGTTTTCTCGTCTTTTATCTATCTAACTCCATTTTCTAGAGCAAAGAAAGACAGGCGGACGGAAGGACGACGACAGTGGAAATTTATACTTGTACGTGCTTGTTGGAGGGCCGAGCAGTCCTTTTGGTTAGTGGTCTGGTTAGGGCATACCACTGGGCGCTGTGTTTGCGAGCTCTCTCTCTCGTCTCACTCGTCCGTACACCTCCTCATACCTTGTAGTGTTGTCAGAACGTCTTATGTTGCGGGCTATTCGGCGAGATGATCATCCTGCTTCTCTCAACCCAACGATTCTTCTCCTCTCAAACTCGGTCAGTTGTTCATATGGTCTTCGATTGCGACGTAAAGGCATGTCTAGTGATACAGCGTCCCTCTGCAACAGGTAAACTACAGACAGGATGCCTTTGCGCGCTTTTTTATAGGCCAAGAGACGCACTTATTCCGCAAAAAAATCATCACACCATAACTCTAATCATTTCTGTATCTGCTTGAGTCTTATCCGCGTGCCAAGTTTCTCAACGATACAACTCCTTTGTGCCCTAATTCTTATGACAATGAATGTATGTAATGGGGTAAATAATTTTGGACAAACCTGTATATTTATAATTTATAAAGCAATTAAAACCAAACATTAGTAACTGCTTTGTAAATGGAATAAACGGAAAATAAATTTAAAATATATATCGAATCAAGTAATATAAATAAAGAATTGTATAAAATAGAATAGCTACTTTGAAATATTTAACATCAAATAAAATAGAATCTTAAACTATTATTTATAGAAATCTTTTTAATCTTATCATCTAAACATGATCACGTGAGGAAGTTTGATAAGAAAGAAAAAAGTAAACCAATAGAAACCTGGCTAAAAATCAAACACTACTTAGCAACTTTATTTCTCATTCTAAACGAAGAAACATGTACGATTTCAGCAATAAAAGAGCTTTAGTTACAGGTGGATCAAGGGGTAAGTCGAATATTTATTTTCATATAAATTAAACATTTATGGATAAACTTAACTAAATTCAATTTTATTTTTTGAATATTTAAAAATTATATTTATTGCCTGGGCGAGCAGTAAGCGAGAGCAGGTTGCTGGGATGACTTTTGCGGTTTCGTGTCTGCGTTTTGAAAAACATTTCCCATGTCAGATTTTGATGATTTTGGTGTCAAAATTCTAAGTAGAACCCTGGCGTGTGTCTAAATTATTTTTGAAAAATATAATTAACTTTCAGATAAGATATAATAAAAAAACGCTTAATAACAAAGAGGTATTTTCACACTATTTTCACATTTTTGGGTGTTTTTTTGGAATATAAAGACAGACAGTTGCTTCAGCGTTTTTTGCAGCGTTTTTGCAGCGTTTGGTGAATTTCGGTTGAACTATGGAAAAGTTATCCGAGTTCAAAGAACATTAAGCGTTTTTTGATTATATCTTATCTGACAGTTAATTATATTTTCCACGAAATAATATTTTCTTATTACAGTTTTATTTTTTATCTGTACTTTTCATCATGTTCTTTTTATCAACAGTAAATCACTTATAATCCTTTATTTGTGACATATTACTGCTCAAACTGCTCACCCAAGCTAACTACATCGATAAACATCGTTTCGAGTTTCTCTATGTAACTTAACTAGTTATTTAAAGTCCATATGTTTATAAACAAGTAGTTAGATGTGATAACTCAATATTATAATCTACTTTTTCTCTTCCATTTGTATTGTGGAAAAAATAAATTGATAACGGTAACTGCATTTATGACTAGTTTCTGTAACTCGTTAATCTAATCAACCAGAAATATTAACAATGTAAAAGATGACGTCAAGGATTTAGATAGTTACGTAAAAAAAAAATAGGTTGATATGTCTGAAACAACATATCAACCTATTTTAATTAAAACGACAAGGATAATAATTGTAACTATTTGTTTTTAAATAGTACCTAATTAAAATATATCTGCAAATTATTGTTCGAATCAGTTCTTCTGTTTTAACGTGATAATAATATTGTGAGAAGCCAAGGGCATAGAACTAAGTTCACGCCGCTTACTGGCCTATTCCGTGAGAATAGTCTCTGTGTTTCGGATCTTGTGATCTGATCCTAATCAGGATTTTGACCGGGAGGGCTTTTTAATATTAAATAGGATATAGACGGCGAAGTCTCTATCCAATGTCAGGATTCCTGGACACCAGTTAATCTACTTTGCGTAACGCGGATAAACACGCGTGAAATTTATGCCGTCGATCTGATTCAGTGATTCAACAAGAGACATCTCTTAACAACATATATATATAATTATTCTATAAATAATTAATTTAGCTTAGCAACAGATCCTGCTAGCATTAAAGTTATTTAAAACAAATAGCTAAGAAATAAAAATTAGTGCTACTACATTAAAACAAATAAATCTTTATTACAGGAAATTATTGAAAGTGGGATATTTCCTCTTGCTTTTAGTTTGTTTTGATGCAATTCCAGCATTCTTCATTCACATAAAAATGCAGTCTGATTATAATATACAAATGAATAACTTTAATTGTAAGTGCACGTCTTTGACCATCAGCAGAATATCTAACTTGCAAATTCACTAGTTATGTGATCAACTAGGACAGAGTTCGCTTAACCAAATAGCTTAGTTCAGAAACAAATAAAATAGCTTCATAAGTAAGCTATGAAATGAAATTACAGTTTCTTATGAATATTTATTATTCCTTAATATTTATTTACCTGTAAATGTCTTGCTTCTCTTCGCTCCTTCAATGCTTAATGAGCTCTCTTTTCGTTTGCATGGCGAAGTTGTCTTTTTGGAAGCTTTTTCGTGGAGTAGTTTGGAAGATTCGGAAATATAGTAAAATATTATCTTTCATAAATTGCCAACAGCCTTTTTAATCTCTACAGTATGTCCATTTTTAAGTGTTTATAAGTTTTTTCAACGAAGTGTTCGTGGAAAAGCAAATCACAAATACAGTACGTAGTTGCCTGTTTTCCCTGGGAATCACTCTACTCATGCAGGAATACCTCTCTCGCTCGCGCTAAAAAACGACGTTTTTCTTGGCTTGACTTAGGGGAGACCGGGGCAAGATCGGCATGTTAAGCTTTACTTAAATTTTGTGTAATAAATAATAATGTAAACTGAAAAAAAAGCTTTGCATATTGTCTATTGGAATGTTACCTTACTATAGAACTGGTTAAAATCAGTTTGGAAATAAANCAAAGTTTTGGATCGTTGAGATCCGATCTTAAATTATTCATAGGAGGGTTGTTAAATATTAAAGAGGATATAGATGGCGAAGTCTTTATCCAATGTCAGGATTCCTGTGACACCAGTTAATCAAATTTGGATACACGGATTAACATGCGTGAGGGGTCTGATTCAGAGATTGAGGAGACATTATATAAACTAATAATAAAAGGAATTTAGTAAACATATATATAAGTAAACTATACAAAAATGGAGTTACAAATGAATGAGACACAATGAATTCAACTTAAAATATATATGTCGAGAGAGAGAGCTCACAATTTCATATTAAAACATACAACCTGTTAGTTGTCCTTCCTTTCCTCTGTATGCGACGTATTTACTTCTCTCCGGGAGTTCTCTGCTTTCTGTTCAGGGAGAGATCAACTTAACGGAGAATATTTATGTCCATGGAAGTAAGCCTTCTGTATACTGTATTTGCTCATAGCATAGGGCGTTGGCCTTTAGGAGCAATTGAATGGAGTCTGGTCACTCTCGGATCTGACGACGAACTCCTAAGGGTGATGTGGAGCCAATATGGGAGACGTCTCTCCTCTATGAGATTTTCTGACGAACTCCCTAACTAAGGACGATGGCCTTATGGAGACAATTTGGAGACTTCTTTCTACTATGAGATCTCCTGACGAACTCCACGAATTCGGTTGAACATCCCATATATCTTCTGATTTACGACCATTTATCAGTCGAGGCATTATCCACGTGGACGGATGGGAAGGGGAAGAAATGAGGGGTAAACAGTTCCCATCGAAGCGAGATTTTTAGCAGATAAGGGAAAAACAGAGGATGCTCATGCTTCCGTCAAAGGAAGTGACTCTCCTAGCTTTTCCCACGCTAAAAAACGTTATTTTTCCATCCCAAACGAAAGAATATTTTAGGCTAAAAATTTAACATTATTTTTAAATTATTAATTTAGATCCGGGGCTATTCGGATCTCACAATATTGATGAGTACACGGTATGGAAACAACGCCATAGCAGGAGTATAGTTGTAAATTAAAAGTTTCAGGACGCAAATTGAGTTTGAATCGCCATCGTTTATGGAATTTTCTATGGGCAAAGAGAAACTTTGTGGTGTAGCTGCAAAACTGCTTAGATGCGCCAAAAATGACTTACAGTAGGGCCTATACATTCGCAATGAGCGCAAAAAAAACCTGCCTGCGCAAGAAGTAATTTTCTGTTTTTAGTCGAGGTACACATGGTCTAAAGTCCAACTTAGATGCTCACAAAGTATTGATACAAGGTCTTCCCATTGTTTTAAAAAGTATGTCCTGGCACGACTACACTTTTGCACCATAAATCTCCTGATGCAATTTGTCCGTCATGTTGAGCTTAAAAAGCGACGAGTTGTGTAGCTTTCGTCTGCATTAATGAATTAATTATAGATTGCAACTACAGATTGCAACTATAGATTTCAGTTAAATGAATGTTTCGTGTTATTTAACCTTTTTCTGTTTTTAAAGAAAACAAAGTATACTTATAGAGTTTCAGTGGAAATAAAATATCGGCTACCTAGTAAAAATATCATCTTATCATTATTATGCCACCCGAGCAAGACATGCATTTGACGCCCCTTGTCCCTCTACATAAAATGAAAAAAATTTTGCATTGAAATGCCATACCAATTAGACGTGACATATCTTGCTCCCTCAATTAATATTCAACTCGCGCCGCGTAATAAAAAATAAAAATAAGAAGTATGTAAAAAGTAATACTCCTGAAAATTTTATATAAATTTATGAAAATTTGCAATGCCCATTTTGCCCATACGGTAGTGCCTGCTCTGTCAATGATATCAATGATATCATTTCTTTCGTTGGTCATATTTTTCGATTTTGGGGTGTGGCATGATGTGGCACTATACACATCACTACAATGCATTTACAAATGATTAAATTCTAAATTTGGTTATGGTCATCGGGTTTCGAGATGAGGATGGGTCCATCTTTTAAACATGATTAAAATGCATTGTTATCGGGCTTAGAAGGCTTAAACTTTGACGACACGTCTTTCTTAATTAGAAGCGGATGCATTTTGAGTTGTAAGAGTTGAGGACTTGATAAAAGCAAAACGCGTTTAATTAAACAAAAGCAATTAAAAAGCTCTTCCACATGCAACATTGCGATTTCAATAGATATTTTTCCTTTCCGCGTGTATCTGTGTATCTGCCTTAAGAATTATTTAAGGTTGGTTTACGAGTATTAGCTTTTATTCTTTTTCAACTGTATATATAACAGCTATCTTCTATATTTTCAACTTATTAAAAATAAAACAATCATTAGATAACTCAATAGATAACTCTTCGAAAAAACATTTCAATAAGAAATTACGAGTATTGAAAATATTAATTTTATTTATATATCGATAGTTTGTGAGAAATTTTTTGTAAATTAAGGGGGTTTAGCTTTAATTTTCATAATTTTCAAGACACTTTGAAAATAATTGACTATTTATTTCGCAACATGAGTTGGTGTAATGTTTTGTCTGCGCGAATTGCCATGTGCAAACTAAGCACGTGATTTTAAGGTTTATGACAATGTAGACAATGGATTCTAATGGTATAAGGTACACTAACTTAGAGAAAGAAGTTTTATTAAAATTAATTACGAAATAAAAAAATGTATTAAAAATTAAAGAACAAGTGCAATGACAAATGTAGAGATGGGAAATAACAATTATATAATAGCAAATTTATATAATAGTTATATAATAGAAAACTTTAAATATTGTTTTCTAATTAAGCAATTTTGTTTCAGGGATTGGAAAAGAAGTGGTGAAGCAATTAACCAATTGTGGTGCACAAGTGTTCGCTTTGAGTAAAACCCAAGAAAATTTGGACGCTTTAAAAGCCGAAGTGAGAAATTTTCTTCTTATTATTTAATTAGAATCTTTTGTAATATTTTCTCATTTGAGAGAATTAAAAAATTATTAAAATTATAAAAAAAATGTCAAACATTATTAAACTTAATATTTTTGAACTTTATTTACGAGGAAAATAAAATTTGCTTTCCGTCAAAGATTATCCCAGTTTGTTAAGCATACTCAAGTTAAAAAAATATAACGTTTTTTTTAATACATTAAATTATTTTTATTGACTTTAAGAAATATTTTAAAGGATATCATTAATTATATAATTTTCTATACAACTATCTCGTATATAAAAATCTTACTCGTTAACTGAAGATAAAAGATATTTTATTATTAATAATTTCTTATATGATAAATGTTGCAATTCTTTAATTCTTCCAGCATTTTTACTTTGTTTAATATTCTATCTTATTGTTCGATACTTCATTGTTTTACATGGCCATGACCTAGAAATTACCTTAAATAATAAAAAAACAGAAAGCAATTTTTCACATCCATGTTTGATATATAAATTATGATTTTTGAAAGTACCGGTATGTTACAATTTTTTAAACATGTTTTACATAATTTTTTCGATTGTTTCATAAATTGATAAAAATTTGAATGCCTAAAATTGATAAAAATTTGAATGCCTAAATTATACTATATTTTTGTAAAATGTAGTGATCAACGCGTATTCTAACGGGCAATTGGACACAAGAAATGTAATGGGAATTTTGAATTGTGCAGTGGGAATCCTATACTTGTGCAGTAATTAATTTTCCGATTCTGTGTTTTATTGGTATTTATTTCGTCTAGTCACGTTAAAGTTAAAAGATTTACCTAAATTACACAGTATACAGTAAAACCTGTTCAAAATGGAACCTGAATAAAAGGAAACTAGCCTAAAAGAAAAAATTCTTCGAAACGGAGCGATTTTCTATGTTAAAAAATGCATTTTCCCATGTGCATTCATTGTGATTTCTATTATATGTAAGCGTTCGAAACTTTTCCTAGGTGAGGAAGAAAGCGAAGGCAAAATTCTTGTACTGTACATAAGCAAGAAATATAAAAGTCTGCCTGCGGCTTTATGGCAAATCATTACATTGGACACAGCAATAAAATATATCCTACGGCTACAGAAGGACCACTTAGTAAACATCGTTTCAATCAAATTTGTGCCAAAGATATCAGAAAATACTTTTTTTAAATTGCCACCTGCAACTGCACTTTTTTAAAATATTGTTTTACAAAACGACAGTTTATAAAAATTTTCCTATTTTAAAATCAAGGTGATGAGAAATAATTTTTATAATTAAAAAGAAATTTGTTTATTAAAATTTAATAATTATTCTACGATATTGTGATTTCTAAATAAGTTTTCAAAAATTTTCGAAGCTGAAAATTAAGCGAGAAATGCCTTGTTGAATGAGGTAAGCGGTGTAACTACCATTTATGCAATCTGTACAATTACACAGGGACCCAAAGCAGTTAGGTGCCCTCGGTCTCTCACACTTGTGGCAAGAGCCGAAATTATGAAGAACTATTTGAAAAGTTCAATGGACGAAGAGACACTAAGTGAATAATTTCACTTTCTATCAAAAATTCAAAAGCTAGTAAACTGGACTTGTCAAGGCAATGGATAATTAGTGTTCATCATAAAGTAGGCCTATAGCGTACTAATGGACTTTACTATTTTTAAAATGAATAAATTACTTACCAGTTTACAGTTTTATATATATTATGCTATGTTGTAAAAAAATGTTACGGAAAGACCAATGTGGGTCTTTTTTGGAAATGTTGCTTAGGAGCTACTCATATGTAATTATGACATTGTATTGGTTGTGTGTAGATGTTATGATGTATAATGTCTTTAAAAGCACACACACGATCATAAACTAGTGTCGTAATTAAAATATTCCTATTCAACGCTTTCTAGAGAGATTTAATAGTCCAAATGAAACCAAATTTGGAATGGCGACGTTTCAGAATAGGCGAAAGATATTTTTCAAAAACTTAAGTACCAAAACTCACTACTATGACGCATTTGGTCATGCAAGCAACGGAAAACCGGCTGGATTTTAATCCATGCGAATTTTTGATTGTGGCAGATAGTTAAAAAGTGGAATTTATCGATGACGTGTTGCAAGACAGTATCACATTACAGATGAGAACGACGAATCACAGAGGATGAATTTCGATCAGCTCTTGAATACATTTAGTTCACTGTCTTCCGATTTTACACTTTTAGATTGCGATCATTTTTTTTTTTTTTTTGTTTTTGCTCTTTCTGCTCTGTGGGCACTAATAGGCCTTCTTTTAGAGAGCCCATTATTGGTTTGGCCAAGTCGACAATACTGCGGCCGAGTGATGGGAAACGGGGAACGGGGTCCGATATATCCGGTTGGATCATCCTCGAAAAATGCCTGAGGATTTTTCGACCTGTCCGGATCAGATTCCGGGTCCCTCAGAGTGATAGGCTGCCTCCTTCCGGCCTGAGATAGTATTAAACAGTATTCCCTGCATCACTAATATTTCTGTTTGGGATGACTCTTCTGCTAATAAAAGTTTGCGCTTATGTTATGGAACTTTTGGCGCTATAAATAACGCTAAAACTGTCGCTATCGCACGTTTAGTACTAATTTTTTTTTTACAGAAATGTCTTCTTCATGCCCTGAAATGTCACTATACTAGGTTCTAGAGTGAGATTTAGCAGTTGGACTGATAAATTTCTTTCTAGACAGCGTTGAATAGTGATATTTTAACTACTATCATCCAGCGTATTGTATATTTTATGTATAAAAATAATTTTACTTACAAACTTACAGATTCCGAGTGTCGAAACAATTTGCGTGGATATTTCTGATTGGAAGAAAACTGAAGAAGCTCTAAGCAAAATTGGGACTATAGAACTTCTGGTAAACAATGCAGCGATTGCAGATTCTTGTAGAACTGGAGAGATTACTGAAGAGCGTTATGATGAGTATGAAATTTTGCATTTGTGAAATAATAACAATTTTACTGTATAAACATATATTTAAAAGTTTAAGTTCTGATATATTATTCATATTACTGTAAATATTTACATAATTAAAAATTATATACAACAAATTCTTGTCAAGGAAACTTATATATTAAGAAAACAATGTTATTAATAATGCTGGAGAGACCACCACTGGCCGAGTTTATAAAACAAGTAAGTGGTAGTTGGTCATGGATTCGAGCTTCACCAACAGGCTGCCATGTGGAGTTTTTCGGGTTTTCTTCACGTTATTAAGATAAAAATTTTTTCCTACTTAAAATTAATTTGTGTTTATTTATAGTCTATGGTGGGTTGTATTTCTATACTACTTATGAATTAGTAGCCACATAAGATGGAAATTTTATTGAATTCGCATTAACAATTATTTTATCCGTTCAACTCGGCCCCCAAGAGTAAATCCTGAGTACGCCACTAGGACTAATATTAATACAGTAGCCCCATGTTATATCGTCCTTGTTTGGAGACACAGAAAAAGCACAATACATCCGGAGGCGTGATATAACCGAATACGCGATATAACGAGATGCTACTGTATTATTGGATTTCATGTGTTTTATTTTAAGTTAAATAACTCGTAAATTCCAGATGGGAATATTTAAAATTTAATTTAAGATAATTATTAGAAAACAATTAGGAAGTAGGATAATCGTTGATCCATTTTTCTATACTTAGAGTATACTAACAGAGTTCAATGACTGCTAGAAATAGGAAAATATAAACTTTCAACATGGCCGTTTTTGTGTCGCTTAGATTAATAAGGATGCTTTTAAAGGTTCTCGAGTTAGAAGTTAATTGAGTTACTATTGGTTTGTATTCGTTTATCATTGTAAAATTAGTATACAAAATTGAATATGAGAATTTGATATTTCAAAACAATAATGAACTGTAGGCAAATTTAACAATATTATAATTCAAGATATCACTAAAGAGTTTTGCTTTTCTTCTCCTCCGATGGTGATCTGATTACTGCTTTTCATAATCTGCCCTCGATCTCCGCAAATGTCCGGAAGACTTCAACGAGTTCGAGTGCAGTATTAACTGGAGTTCCAAAAGAGTACAGCCCGAACTGTTTCTTTTCTTCTTAAGATCCTTCCACTCCCGTACAGGAAAACTTCGGAAGGTCGAAGGTAAAGTCATCTGTACTGAATCTAAACGTTTTATCCTAGAGCGAATCGGTGCATCACAGTCATCTCTCTAATCTGGAGTCATTTTTTATCGGTAGATGTAGTGGATATTTCTGGCAATCGTGTTGATTTCCTTTCCACCTAAATTCGTCCCACAGTACCATTAATCAAACGCAACTTGTAGCGGAAATCTTATTTTTTACATTGTTAACAAATACTATTGCAGTCTTCACGTTGCTACACGTGGATGTTACGTAAACTGATGATGCCCACGGTATATCAAATTCTCATTTATCCGAATAGGTTACACGTACTATTAAAATGAAATTCTTTGAGTAATTATCGCACGAACAATATGTGTATATTACGTCCCGTAAGATAACAGCTACAAGTTGGCTGGAAAAAGAACTTCGCCGGTCGAAATCATGGTTTTTATATTATTCTGGTTACGCAACTGCTTATCCCTGCCGTGCTAAAAATTTGGTAACGTCTCTTGTTCCCGATGATGGCACTGAGATCACTGATTGCTTTTCTGCTAGTTTTCGATGGTTCTTTCGTATATAAGAACTTTAATAATATAAATATTTAAATAAATTTATTGTTTTCTAATATTTTTCAAATGCATCAATGGATCTTAACTAGATTGCTCAAAGATAGCAATTAATTTCTCAGGAAGAATTCCACTATAACAGTATTTCTTTTTGGTCAGGGATTCCGAACGAAATCGATAATAGCTTAAGAGAGGTCGATACAACTTTCTAAATATAAAAAATTTATTTTAAAATATTTAAATTTTACATATTTTTTTGCTCTCAAGTAAATGTAGAATAACGTCTTTTGAAAATTATGTAGGAGACTGTTCGATATAGGCCTATATTTATGTATAATATAATATTGAAGGAGTGGATATATGAAAAAGGTTACGAATTGTTTTGTTATATATATAT